TTTATGATTACAGAGGCTTTGTGTATTTCATGAAGACCGTAAGCAGTAAGCACAGCAAAAGGACTTGGAGGAAAAATTTCCTTAACCTAGTGGCTCAACAATGGAAATCTCACTGTGTGCCCAGATAATTCTTGTGCTAAGCACAGCAACCATGAAATGTTTGCCGTGAAGTATGCTTAGCATGTATCGTAACTGTCCCGAATCCTCCAATGGTTTGCACACACCTAAGGGAGTTTGTGTGCCATGGTGTGCAAAAATATTTTGCTTAACTGTAAGCAGCGCCGTGAAATTGGGCCCTTATGTTAGTGCTTTTGAACTTTGAGGCAATTTCAAGGGCAACCCTTTGTCAACCACTGGACCCAGGATACACTTTGTGCATAGGTTTACCGGGGAAAATCCACCGGTGTTGGGCAAATGGTAGTTGCTTGAAATTTGCCATTGGATGAAGGCGTGGAAGCTGTAGGTGCTGTGTAGCCACACATCGCGCCTCATGTCACACATGCTTACCACATCAGTCAATGCAGCAAGCAGCAGCCGGATGCTTCTCAAAGCGGATGTGGCTTTTTATTCCCAATCACAAATACATGTTTTCCCATATGGGAAAAGGGACCTGGTTTCTTTGAACTCCCTTGATCTCCCCCCCCCGGTGCCATCGGTGAGGTCTTTCTGCCTTTGCTGATGATCTCAACAGCTGGATAAATGTTGTAGCCTTGGGCAGGTCACTGTACCTCCACTTCTCTCTCTCTGCCAAGGGACATAAGTGGGTATCTGTGAAGACAGTGATGGTATAAATTCTGTTTGATCAACCATTAGCCCCCGAAATAGCTGCATCCAAGCCATATGCCCTCCAAGCAGCTTAGTAGATTTTAGGAATGTTTGTGGGTCTAGTGAGCAAGGATAATGTTAATCTTGTGTATTTGGGGTTGCGAGCACTCGGTAAATACCTTTTAGAATCGTTTACATTACACCTACCATGTTTCTTCTATATCAGGTGCGGCAACGTTGCAGCCATCCTGGAGTTAGACGAGCACCTCCAAAGAGACTTCACAATATTTGAGGCAGCCCCACAGGTAAAACTGCGCATTGTTGGCCATCAGAGTTCAGCCTGGGACCTTGTTTTGGGGGGGGGGTCAGGTTTTGAGGGATCTTGCACCAGTGGCCAGGAAACTCGTCAAATCCCTCTCTAGTTTATTTTGGCTTTTCGATGGATTCATTTTAATGGAGCAGGGATCATCTGCTTCTCGATCCAATAAATCCAAGGATTTATGCGCTTTAATTGATGCTCGTGAATGCTGTCAATTTTCAACAACTAGCTCTGTTGCCTTCTGGAGAGTGGAGACTTTGGAAAGTTCTTTTTTGTAGACTTGAATTTTTGGTCCGCTTTGCCACACAGGAGGTTCGAGGAATACCAGCCAAGAAGCCAGTACCAGACTATTTTTTATAAGAGCCTTACTTAGTGGATGAAGGAGAGACTACGTGGAACCCAACGAGGTATGACACCACTTAATAATTGGTCAGTTAGAACCCAGTAGTGTTGTAACAGAAACCAATGAGTAACCCTCTACCATAATGCCAAAGGATTATCAGCCTGCTGTATTGTAGTGCTCCCAAAACAACCAACGAATGAGGGACTCTGGACAATGACACCCAAGGAAGATCAGCCAATCACGGACTGTAAACAGTGATACCATCCTTGGACTAAGAAGCAATGAAATACAGACACTGCCATCCCAAGACAACTACGAATGAACGATCAATCTTTCTAAATCACCTACAAAAGGCAACTGTTTGTTGACATGTTGCTTTCTGAAGAGACTTGACTGCATTTTTTAACCAACCAATAAGAACACTGTACAGTGAAGCCCAAGCACTACCAGCCTATCAGTGACTTTGTATTATAAAGACAACTTATAACTGAGTATAAAGTGGACTCCGTGTGTAAAAAAACCCTCATTGTGTCCATAAATGCAAGGAATTTTCTTAAGAGAATGATTGTTGGCAAGTGCATACTTAAATTCCAATTGAATTATTTGCATGCCAAATTTGCTTAAAGAGAGTCATTACAGTGAGATTTAACATTGAAACTGAGAGGTAATTGTGATTCCTGAATAATGAATTGATTAAGTAGATAACAGCTGAAGTAGTTACATTTGTCTTTTCCTAAGATAAGTCCATTCCCTAGGCAGCGGACAATTTTATGTAATTTACTTGCGAGACCTGCAGAGAATTATTGTTTCAATCTCAGTAGACCGATCCAGTAAGCCCGCCCGTCCACTGTGTGCATGGGTACTTAACGCTTGTTCTCCTACAGCGCCTTGCTACTTGTTCCAGCCATGCGCATCATGCACGCGTGCACGCATGTTAGACTTTGGCACATGCATGTCGGACGTAAATCACAGCTGCGATTGGTCAGAACACAGTGGGGCAAGGCTTAACGGATGGGTCTGTTACCTTGGTGGAATAAATTGAATGAGATGTCATAGCCTCAACTTGCTGGACAGTAGTGATAGGAATCCTCTTCCGTCTTTCAAAATCCTCCACTATACAAAGAGGATTTTGGAAGACATGGGAAGCTTTGGAGAGGGTCCAAAATGAAACGTGCGGTAACTCCGAGGTTTAACCTTGAGTTATCGCCCCCCCAAACAAAAACCCAGTAAAACCTTGTAGTACCTCGAGGTCCGTCTTGAATTTAGTCCGTTTCATTTTGCATTCGTGTTAACCATATTACAGGTCTCTCCTTGTCACAGTTGCAACGTGTAATGTCCTAACAGTTTCCTTCATTATTCAGTCCATGGAAAAGATAGTCCCAATGCTCTTTGGGAGGGGGAGATGACGTCCAACTTTAAGTATTGTTATTTTTTGATAGGTTTGATGGTCGGAATGGGCTGTGGGTTATTGGAACAAGCAGATGAGTGTTCTGGGATCCCATTCAGGGTAACTGGACAAGTGTAGTGAAATTGTAGAGGGGAATTTCCATTAGGATTAACCCTGCATCAGAAATAAGTATACTATTTTTTCTGGGGCATTTCAACTAAGAATTGAAATGTAAAAATGGTGTCCTTTTAGTTTCATTGCCAAAGTAAGTGGACATCAGATGCTTTTCTTAACTTCCTAAGTTGGCCCGTGTTTAAAGAGAAGAAACGTTAACATGTAAACCAAAAGCTGCATTACTTTGGGTACGTTTGTAGTAACTGCTTGATTAATTAGAAGGTACATATACTGGTCATGCTCATAATTGACTAACATTTGATGTACGAACGTAGAGAACAATGGAAGACTTGTCATGAGTTGTGGCTTAGCCAAGTGTTGCCCCATTTAAGGGGTTTTCGTTCTCTTGGGGTTGTGTTACTAGCTTTTAGTACATTCAAATTGATTTCAAGGGAGCCAGACCTCATTATAACAAAATTAAATATTACACAACAACGCTGTTATTGAAGAATGTTCACTTTGATTGATTTAAAAAGAAGCAATGATTTGGATTGTTTTGTGGTTACGCTTGAGTGATCGGAGATCTCTGGACTGGATGACAGATTGGCATTAGTATGGAGTGGAATTGCTGCGATAGGTGAACTCCTTCAAGTCACCTTTTGCGATGTCAGATGGTGAATCCCAGTCCCAAATAGTAGACAGTCAAATCCCATCACAATCAGAGAGTACATGCATTTTGAACTTTCGAGACAATGCAAGTTAACTTCCAAATTTTCAGTCATAATGACTCTCCTAAAATGTATCGACTTTGTTGAAGCTCAAGCCCATAGCCACACCCCCACACATTGTATGTGATTGATTTGTACCTATGTTTGTGGGAACTTTGTGTCTGTCAAGTTGTCCGTTCCATTTCTAAACAAGCCACCGACTGGCCAACAGGGTACATCTTTCAGTTTCTCTCGAAACAGCGTGCTTCTACCGAAGTAGGGTTTGAACTTGCAACCTCGCAAACATTAAGGCCGGCAGGGATAGTGTTTGTTCAAAGTGCACAGCCCTGTGTTGGCAATTGCCCAATCAGTCAGAACAGGGACATTGACAAATCAGAGGTGGCCGACGGTAGGGCTTGTATATAACTGTGCTGGCACCACTCAAGTGTGGTCTTCTGAAGGCCAGATATTTCAGTCTCACTTCGGTGTACTTAGTGGGTTTTTTTACAGCAGGAAGTTCATTTGAAGTGGGCTTGGAATGCATGACTGACAATGTTCCCAGTGTTACGCTGAGTTTAACAGTTCAGTGAACGGTCTTGTCTGAATCAAAGGAAACATGGATTTATTTGACAGACTACTTTCATATAAAGCCCTTTTAAACTTTCACCGACTGCCCGGAATGTTTACAATGCCACCTGCCTGCTACTGTCGGTTGTAACGTGCACGCAAGGTTATCATTTGTTATTAGATGTGGCAACATTCCAACTGTTCCTATATTGTCATAGTGGAATGTCCCACCAGGCTAAATTTGCATTGATTGGTTCACTGACAAGTACATTGTTTTGGTATACATGTGGCCGGTTCTAGGATAGTCTTTGTTGATACTTGAATTTAGTAAGCATGATTTCCCCTGAGCTGTTTCCATGAAATTGGACATAATATCAATGAGTAGTAATACCAGTGTGAAGAATGGTGGAAAAAAAAGGATTTTGACCATCATCGTTGGGGAGGTCAAGTGAGGTCAATTTTGATTCCATCAAGGGTAATAATAACCTACAAATGAATTTCAGATAGTGCGTTTTGGATTCTGGGGGATGAATTTGCCTCAAATTTGATTGCATTACTGAATGATTATGAGATAGTTGAGCAGAGCATGAGCATGTTACAGACAAGGGTGACTAAAAGCTGCGAGGCTCAGAGATCTTCTCATTTACTTGTAAAATACATCCGTCTTTGTGTCCTAGGATAAGGCCTTGTTAGCCCCTCTGACAAGTCATGCGTTATTTCTCTATAAGAAACAGAGGGAGTGAGTTCAGTAGGATGACTTTCCAGACACTGAAGTAGCTGTTGGTACCCTGTCATTGCTTTTTTTTTTTTTTTTTGCAGTGTTGGAGATGTGTAGCCAGAACGTTGAATGAGCATCTGTTTGGTTTTAAGAATCAGTACTTATGTAGTCTTTAGTTGTTTTTGTCCTCGTACCCCTCGTAGAAACAGGAGACACGTTTGAGGAAGTGCTGGTGCAAGACAGATTCTGAGCTCTAGTCTGAAGCCACATAGCTTTGGCTGGCATTGGAATGACTCCAATGTCCACAGTCAATTTTCACACAGCATTACAGTTACTTTGTCGTATTGTACAATTATTAGGCCTTGCAAAGTCTGCTAATTTTCAGGTTGACTGGTGTACATTAGGGACGTCCGGCACCAAGACTTCGTCAGTGTCTCAAGACTTCAAAAAAGAGGTCAGCGACATGTGTTTTTATGATTGACAAATTTGGTAGACACAACCCCCAGTTCATTGACGAGTGATTTTTGTGTACATGTATTTTTCTCTTTTATTGTAGTTATGACATAAAAAAAGATACAACCTGACAGCCACCTGTGTATTATTTGATATTAAATTAACCATTAATGGAAAAAAATAATGAATTTGTAAATACGATTGTTCTTTAGACCATTTACTTGTTTGTATCTGTTAAGTTTTATTATCTTAGTATTATTACGTGGTACGATGATGGGCTAATGTCCTCTAGATATGCAACATAATTTATTTGAGCCCTCATTGGACAGATTTCGTTAGGTTACCACTATAATGTGCGGTTGCATTGGTTAAGGAAGCTAGCAACTCCATTGCCTTGTCAATGTCGATGCTTCATTCACCAAGCATATTTTATGTGCAAGGGATAAACCCGTCCGCATAGTTCTGGTAGGGCGGTGATAACAAACGGACCATTTCGTCAGCATCTGTCATTTAGACTGTTCAACTGCTGCCAGAAGAGGGTGGCTGAACTCGTGGGAAAACTTGGTGTTTTTTTCTGTTGTAATGAAAAACATTTTCCACAATCCCTAAACAATGCTGAAATAGGCTAGAATGCCACATACCATACAAGCCTTTATAAGTAAAAGCCCCCAAACAAACTGCACATTTTGTAAATATGATTGAACCACAACTATCACTGTTTTTTCCTTGGATCCTATTGCAATCCCAAAATCCTAAATAAAAGTTCCCACTTCGACATACTGCTGACTTCTAACCTCGGATAAACCCTTTACAGTCATTTCCAAAACAGTACTTCAAGCTTTTGTTCTTTAGAAGCGCTAATCCGGGAAACTGTTGAACTTCCGGGAGACCTCTGAAGAAGTTTACGCGGGTTGATGTTGTCAGAAGCCAAAAAGTGGGGAATTTTAAAAAGTTTAGCTCTCAGAAAGTGTTGAGATATTCAGCAGCATCCACGGTTTTAAAAAAATGTACATAATATTTCGTGTGGATATAACCACCCATCTAGCTCCCCCACACTCGTACGTGGCTCTGGGTGCGTGAACATGTGTTGTTTTTGTGTATAGAAAACTAGGTAAAAGTTTGCATTTTTCTTGCACAGTGAAAGCTTGATTTTTCATGATGGTTCCTTCCTTTTTGCCATCGATAAGTACCCCCCCCTAAAAATGCCTCTAAAACAATGATATTAAGATCTCTTGTAATTTCATTGAGTTGCGGGTTCCCCTTCGACCCGTCATCGTGATGGGCCATTGTAAACATCTAAGACCAAATGCATTGTATTTTGTGGTAACCCTGAAAGTAAATTGAAGTTTGAATAAAAAGAACTACTTTTATCTACCAACGGTAAATTATAGATAACGGCAGCTGTCATTTTTTACCAGTTCAAAACGTGATCAGAATACCTGAAAAATTCTACCTTTATATGTTGATTTCCCATGGCACTGTCCCACAGAAGAGAGAAAAACTTTTGGTTTGTATGAGTTTTCTTATACTGACCCAATTGTATGCCTTCTTTCTGTGCACAAACAATGCAGTTGTGGATCCACGAGGTAGCAAACATACCCGATGCATTCCCCACTTTTTTAAAAGGGAGATGTACTTTCCCTTTATACCTTTTTTTCTTTTGCTGTCGACTGGTTAGTTGAGGATTTTAGTGACGGAAATTATCATCAAAATTTATCCCGTTCCACTGGAAACTTCTACGACAGATGAGCGGTACTGTGCTCTCACAGTAGCAGGGCCTTTCCTTGTGAACGCAACGGGAGTTTCTTATTTGGGAAGTATTTCAGTCCTACGTGATGGCTTGTGAATCAGACTACACCGATTATGCTGTGCGTGTGAGGTTTAGGCTCGTGACAGACCCGTGTCGGAGCCGTCCCCCCCCCCGTTTAGTGTTAATTTAGTGTTCTTGGATCAGTCGAATGTACACGTGTGTACGCTCTCGGCAAGTAATTTGACACACTGTCAGCGCGGTTCATTATTTTTCCAATCCTACTCTGACTTGCTGGTACGCCACGCCGTCGAAGGGCTTGTTCACACCGACTTCCGCCGTCCTCTCTCGCCCGTACTCGAGGCAGAAGCCGAACCAGCTCCGCCGGATGCACCGTTGGGTCAGGGTGTCCGAGAGGTTGAAGCAGGCCGGGCGTAAGACGTCGAAAAAGAACTGGCCAACTTCGACCGAGGCAGTGGTGTTGGCTTCTTGAAGGCAGAGTCGGAAACTGTAATACACGTAAATGGAAATAAGTTGGAATCACATTGTGAAAACTGGGTTACTTTCGGTTCGGACTCTTGCCACGGATTTGATGTTCTTCTGGGAAGCGTGCTTTGAGTGGGTCATCAGTCACCTTCCTCCGTCCCTCTTTCTAGCCTGATTGTCATCCGTTGTTCAACAGAACTCAGCTGCAAACGACCGTCTATTATTATAAACTACCCTTACCTAATCCTAAAAAGCTTTCTACAAGTTAGAGAACCGAATTCGTTTTCTTCAACTCGGTAAAAACTACAGTTGCTTCCACGAACAGTTCATATAAATCACTTGAAATCGAAATTGCTCTTGACACAAAGAGTTGTTTCCGGAATTAGAAACGAAAGTACTTCACGAGATGTTCCCTGAAAATCCCTCAGAAATCTCAAAAGAATTTGTAAAAGGGGGTCCAACTTGAAGAAGTCAAGTTTTAAACCCCGTCGCCTCAGACTCGACGTCACGCTCAGAGGAATATCATCCAAACGTCATATAAATTCATGCATTTTCACCTTTCATTGTACTATTTTTCTCTTTCCATTACAAACTTCACGCAAGTCAATCCACGCGACATGTTCATCTGTGCGTGTTCTAATCATCACCAAAATTTCTGGTTAACAGGTTCATTCGTCGGAAATAGACAGGCAAAAGTCCCAAATGTAGCCTATCCGCGGATACCTATTTCATAGCCAGGCTCTTCTGGGTACCATACGTCATAAAGTTTGTATAATGCACGGCTCTTCAAGAACCTTGTTAAATAGGTCTACGGGGATGGTGTGGTGACACCCCCCAACCAAACACTCCGGGGGGGGGGGGGTTAAGGGAAGCGAGAGTTCCCAGTAGCAGTTGCTTCCTCCATCCCTCTTCCCCGGCAACACCAATGGTATACGTAGCAAACGCTCTTAATTCAAGGAAAATAAAGTGTGCGTACCTTTCATCGCAACTGCACAAGTTGATGGTGTAGGGATAAAAGTTGAAGAGGCCAAATGCTCGGGAGAATGCGTAGATCTTTTCAGGGCAGTGGTCGTGGTCACGGCAGCACATGTCGGCCTCTCGGTGGGTACCCAATTCGGAGTAGCTCTGGGCCGTGTCCCCGATGCCGCACCACACCGTGCCGTCAACGATGAAAGCTGACCGCTTGCCCCTTCCGCGGATCAGCCGGCCATCGGCAGTACTCTGGGCGGTGTTACGCCTGATCCTCACAAATCGCTCATCGGACTCCCGTGGATCGTTCACGTCAAAGTCCGGGACTCCTTGGCGGTGACAAACGGCAAGAGTGATTGCCTGCCCTACCGTCAAGAGGACAGTGAACAGTTTGAGCAACTTCATTATGTGAAAATCAGAATTCTGAGACTCAACGGCAAACGCTTGTCGCTTGGTCGACTCTGTAAAACGAACTGTCCACAAAATGAGTGCGTTTCCCTTTAGCCCTGCATGGGTTTATATAACATTATGAACACCTGCATATTATGTTGTAGGCCGTTAGAATAGAACCTTTGACCCAGTGATGATTTGTTATTACATCAAGAACAAGGTACTGATCAGGTACTTGTCGCTAGTTTCCCCGACTTGTATTTTTGATTGCAATCCAGGATTGATATCCGCCTTCACTGATATCCGCTGGACTTTTTCCCACCAGCGCTGTGATTGCACTGTCTAGTCTCTGTTCGTTTTAGCTAAGTCCCACGCACATTGCTGGGGGGGGGGTCCTTTTTCCCCGGACCTCAAGGTCCGGTGTAATCTTGACAACTGGCGATACTGTTAAACTCGTATAGTCTCGTATTTTGATTGGAACCGATCGTGAGAGAATTCTGCACATTTTTCGAGTAGTTTACCACAGATGATCTCTGTAATAAGTCGTATAATAAGTCGAATAACAACATCTTGGTATGTGAAGATGATTGTCACAGCACAGTATTCTGTAAAACTTACTTAACTTTCCTTCATCATGAATATGTCGTTAGTCTTGAGAAATTTCTTAGAAAATGAGAAATTGGAAGTAACAAGGGGACACGGGATTAATCCAAAATGAAAATATTTCATAACCTAGCTGTCTAGCAACCACTTTTGTGGATAATTTTCCCGTGCGGTTTTGCGGTTGTCCTTGGCTGGAGACTCAAGAGATGGTTGGCAGGTTCCCAATGATTTTATCGGGTGGATAACAAGGATGTGGCAAACAAGCTATTGCACCAGTTTCCGAGTAATAACACTGCACGCCAAATAGTGGAACATGAAGTAGGCATGATGACCTTACCGCAACAACCTCTCAAACTGGCGCAAAAATATGGAGGCATTAACTGGACCCCCATCCTCAGCTGAGTTCCAACAGAAAAATGGACCCCAAAAACATCTTACCACTTTCGGTGGCGAGAAACAAAAACGCTTATGTTTTGAGAAGATTTCGAACTTCCTATGAGCCAAACTTGAGAATAAGCTGTATTCAAAACTCCAAAATTTACATTTTTGAAGGAAGCTGGCAATGTAAATACATAAGATGCTCATAAATATCAGGATTTTGGTAATTCCATCCTCTACTGGCTCAGCGGACTTACTCCACAGCTGCCAAAAGGTCATGTCGTAACTAAGTCACAGGCATCTACCATGGCGGAAGGAAAATGCATGATCTACGTTGTAGTTCACCCGGTTGTGAACTCTTGTTGACCTACCAACGAGGTTCTGCGCAGTGCTTTTTAGAAGAGGGAGGGTTTCATTATAGAAATCTGAGAAAACACCACATTCTTAATAGGAAGTAATTACTTACACGTCTTTGAAATATCTGCCAGAGTGGTGGACGGGTTATCAGAATCACGGGCCTACACACACCATGTTTGTCACACTTTGTTTACATAATGCGCTTTTCTATGTAGCCAGTGGTGCCCACGGTTCACGCAACTCCATGGGAAAAGCACACACGAAAACAACGTGGTGTCATTCATTCGGTACTTGACCGTGCCCGCACCGTAGAACACCCATTATGATGAACCCTAGGAAGTTTCCAATCTCCGCCGTATTCGTGCAGCGACCGTGTTCAGCAGGTTTTGAGCCCAAGCAAGGCGCAAACATTAATGTGTGACGACAGCCTTTATGGGGTAAAAGCTCCCGGATGTGAATTCATCATCAGCCAATTAAGTCAACCAGTTGATTAAGATGGACCGTTAGAGCTACCCCTTGGAGTCTTTTGTAAGTTTCCATGTTTCATGTTCATTTTTGAACGATCTTAGGACACCAAGAAACTGAGACAGCCGATCTGCATGTTCTTGTAATTATACTCGGAAGGAATGTATTTAGGCACCTAAGTTATGGACATGGAAACAGAGTGCTGTGATGTAGAAGCACTCCCGGATATCAACCGAAAGGCCTTGGAAAAGAAAGTGCAAATAAGTCCGTTGTGTGATTAACGATTCGGTGCCTGGCGTTACTCCTCGGTCTTGTAAGATTAGAACTAAGAACTCTCGTAATTATCGTATGTAATTGTGTGTGGTACTTCCATCATGGATGTTCGGAATTTACTATTGGTGTCTGTATCCAAGACTAAATGACTGACAGACGTTAAATTAGACTAAACAACCCAGGCTCTCTGTCAAAATGATGCATTAATTCGTTCCCATTGTACATAATCATTGACGAATTATGTAACCTATATTGCATGTACTAAGTTGCTTAAAAGTGAGTTATTCGCGACATAATCACGTATGTGTGACCAACCACGGGGCGGACAGCGAGGAAACGATACTATTTTGAATTTTTTAAGCTTAGTATCTAAACGTTCTCAGTAACACTGTGGCATTGGCAAATACCCAAACAAACCCCATTATCACAAATCATGAAACTTTTGCTGATTTTTATTACGGAATTTTATAGTGATCATAAAAAACAAGATCTCAATTTGTTTTGTGTATTTTTTCAAAATTAATTGCATGGGTTAGGAAAGTCGTCGAAGTTATTCTCGCGTAATTTTTGTTTTTCGCGGCCACCGTAGAGTTTTTGCTGACGCTTTGGCATCCTCCGCATGGCGATCCAAGGCAACCAATTCCATTCATGCGTTCATTCAGTCACCACCATTGACTGTGATTACTGTTACGTGTGTAACCGACAAAGGCACTCCTACCACGTGCCCCCCTCATGGTGTGATGAGGATACCCACGATTGAGTTCGTGTTCGACCGCAGTCTCAGGCAATTACAACCTACTCGACATTAAGGAAGACGAACTTCCCGCCCCAGGAAGTCGATTCCTGTGGCTTTTTTCCTCCCTAAGAAAAAGGCCTCAACAAGAAGGTTGTTAAATCTCTGTGACTGAGACTGTGGACATTGATGTGTTGATGTATTCTACAGATTTTGATCCAGCCAGTGTACTATATAGACAGTGCTGTTCGTAGTTTGACAATATCTGTCCACTGAAATGATGCATCGTCAACTTGAAAGAATGACAACTGCGTACTTAATCTTGATGCTTTCACTTCACGTTTACGGCGCCTTTCTGCCTGCTGATGAAAGGGTTCTTGGTAAAACACGGAGTGATTTTATTGGCGTGCTTCGAAAGCATGGTGAGCGGACGACAGCAGTCCGGCTCGGCAGCATCTCGGCTCTGGAGACAGCGACCGGCGAGATACCTATGCACACTGCAGGAGATTCCCCAGGGACAGTAACCGTCGAACCCGGCTTCATCTTCCGCGAAGTGACAGACGGCATAGAGACCGTGCAAGTTGTTTACGACGGGAACTATGTGCCCAAGAACTGCTTCGTCTCTGCCGACCAGCCCCCCGTGCTGGAGTTACAGGATAGGGTGCGGCAGTATGCCCCGCAAAATCTCGGCACCACGGCCAGAAAGGCGTCCACGGCGGGGAAAAGCGGAACAAAGAACCCCAACATCGTCACCGCGCCGGAGTCATTGTTGCCGTATTTGCAGTACGCTCACAATGCTTCCGATTACACCTTGCTGGTCGTACCCAGCACTTCAGTCAACCTCAAACTCCCATCTCGACTCCTGCGATCAATGGTAAGCCTGGACCTGATCAAATCCCACTGCGAGGGCCTTCTGCTGAACTCCTCCGTGGTGGGGAATGGGAGGCCACGAAGAAGCCTGCTCACCTATCCCAAGACGCTGTGGTGCGGCAAGGGCACCCAGGCGACCCACTTCGATCAACTGGGTGAAGAGGAAAACACGGACAGGTGTTGCAGGGCCCATGATCACTGCCCCCATCCCCAGATTGCTCCGATGGAAAAGAAACTGTTCCTCAGGAACATTTCCCCCCACACCATCAGCGACTGCAGATGTGACAAAGCGTAAGTTTCAAAGTTTTCTGTCGAAAGTCTCATCGTAATGAAATTTGTTTCAAACAGGCAATGGAGACAGTGATTAGGCTAGACTGGAATGTGAAAGCTGTATATGCTGTACATTCCAGCCCTTTATAAAACTAGTCCTTTTAATGACCTCTGAATGAAGTCTCGTTTTCCTGTCCTTGGTGATGCCAGGTTATAGGCCATCAGGCATCTCTTCAGATATTTAAAGCACCATTACGACCAGCATAGAAAAGCACGCTTTGGAAATGTTCCTCTCGTGACTCAATCCCAGCAGGATTGTATGTATTGAGGGAAGTCTGATTTAAACGACGGTACTTCGACCTTGCCTATACATGATAACATCACGATGCTTTTCTCTCTGATCACGTGATGTACATGCATGCATGTAAGTGGGTTTATGGGATAATTAAATAATTCAGAGATAACCTAGCATTAAAAAGTGTTCATGATAGATTTTTATCGGGTAAATGCAACTCAAACATTGTCTGACCCTTTTACATACGCGCGATCTCGGTCTTCTCAATGAAGAGCATGCGGAATGTGCGTGGTTGGTTGAAACGAGCTGTCAGCTTGGCATTGACATAATCGGCCTCGGTTCGAATGTTGCCAAATGAACGATTCCGATAACCCATGATGACCATTCATGGGTTTGAATGTTAGACAAGCCAGCAATGAGATGTTTAATCCATACGTCGTTGTAGGTGTTGCAAATACGCAGAGTAAAGCAAGAGACCCACAGCCCGCGTGACACACAGTAGCAATGCTCAGTTGTACCCTTGGTGCATGTATTTTTTTCTACGTTAAGATATCCATTTCTGATACTTGTTTTTTCCTCCTTGAAGAAAAGGCCCTAACCATTTCTCTTTACAAAACCGTAATCTTCAATCGAATCCTCAAATAAGTCACCCCTGGCTTCTTTTCTTCTAAGAGAATTTTGACATTGTTCACGCCTATATATTGTGTATGTCGTCGAACATCTGTGACAAATTAATGTTCTCGTTATTCTAAATTCCGAGTATTAAACAGGATCTGATCCCGGCCGTGGACAGCCAATTTACCAGGTGTTGCCAAAAAGTGCGATGACTTCTTGACTCCCTGAAGGTCAGAAGTACTCCAGAGGGTGGTTCATTGATGCCGAACTGCCGAATATGTTCAGCAGATCTTCACTAAATTTCCTGTGGGTTCCTATCAGTACCACGGTGACATTCAAAAAGAAAAAAAAATATGGCGTGATATTTTCCAAGGTGAACAGGGTGGCATGACCGTAGGCGGATATCTCTTCGACATAGTGATATATGTTAATTACATTTTCCCCGTGCCATATACGTTATGACGTCAATGGCACACCGTCACCCCTTACCAAATTTTTGTAGGTCTGCATTCCGATGCTTATTGTCAATTAACGAGGCAAGAAACCTCATCTGCCGGAAATTCATTGAATATAAGCCACTCATACAGAATCATATCCCTGTACGCGAACTGGATTGGAAGTAAAGGCCATTGGCAGTTTGTTTTGGATTTGAGTAAGATGCCGTAGTAGGCCCCTTATGCCGTTATAGGTATTGTGTTTTCTGAATTAGTACGTTGGCTTATTTTAAAAATATAGTTTGATGCCGACCCTCCAAAGCATTCTGGATCGCCAGTTAGCAGGGGATGCATGTGCTTTCTTCAGTAATGAAACCCTCCGCCATTGACAATGGCATTTCGGGTGTACGAAGATGGTTTTTCTCGTCTAATCACAGGTGGATACTAAGCACACGCTCACATTTCAGTTAGATGAGTCGAAGAAACACCAGAGCCAAAGCACAAACAGCTGCATTTATGATGTCATAAAATGATGAACGATTAGTTGATGCGTCAATCTGAAGTTGTCTAAATCTTTGTAGAAAGCGGGTATTTTTCGTGCCTGCTGCACTGTGGCAGAGGTCACCTGGGGGCGCTGTTTAAAACAAGGTTCAAGATTATGGTTCTCTTACTCTCACAGATCGAAATTTCAGTGGCATAACTAGGGAAAATCTACACGTAGGTAGTTCATGAAAGAGGAAATGTAACGATCCTACAAATAAAGGTTAATTTGTATTAAAGTTCTCACTGAGTTGGTTATTACTGGTAAATTTTCGTTTTAAGTACACGTATGTTTTTATGTCACAGCGGTAACTTTAGACCTGAACCTGATCGCGGTGGTCCCTTGTCTCATTTCGACGAAACATGTACTGGGATCGTGCGGGCAATCAACCGTCTCTGAATCTACGGGCCGAAAGTGTTCATATTGCGATGGGTCAAGTGGACCTCGTTAGTCAAACCTTTGTAGGTACTGATCACTGCTGCGAGGTCAACAAACTTTTGCAAATAAATCTGACACCTCCCTGGCCAAACAAGGGTGATATATCGATTACCGCCTGTGGATATCAGGGTGTGTTGGCCCCACCGTTTCAGGTGAACAAACTTTTCTACACACCCCCTCATGAAAGCATGAGGAAAGACAGACATGAAAAAAACATCTTGTAACACATCAGGAATAGCCTGACCACGGAGCTGTCTTCACTTGTGTAGAACGAAGTGTTTGCTCAGTGCCGGAAGGGGAGATTTATGATACATGAAGTAAATTCATGACTGCCCGTGTCTTGTCCGGACCACCATACTTTCGTCTCGGGTATTTCTTCCGACAATGCCCGAATTTACTTCCTTTTTTCTCACGCGCAAACTGAAGCAGGTAAATGCCTGCGGGCCAAAATCCATCCCATAATGGACAGGTGCAACAAAAGGGTAGCGCAGCCCCGTTGATAAGGAAAGAAAGAAACCTTTCACCTAGAGTGTTCCATGCATGAGGATAGTCATGTACATGTACATATGTACAGTGTACATGTATACTGGTGCAGGTGATTAAGAAGGCATAGTGACCGGTGAAGACGGGGGCGTGTCAGGATTTTTTTTTTGCTAGGGTGGGATTTGAAATTTTTTTTCACACGGGGAAGGGGTTTATTGCACCTGTCGCAATGTTTAAGCTATTTAGTCCCTTCGGCGTGTCCTTCACTGAACTTGCAAATAAAACCCTTAAAGGGTTTATGATTTTTTTGCGCGCCGCTTTGAAACTGGCAATGAGCGCGGGGGGGGGGGGTTGACCCCACCCCCAGATCCTTGCCTGAAGGGGGGGGGTTCCAGACCGAAAACAAAAAGGAGAAACCAGAGAACTGAAATTCGTGGCCAGGAATCGGCTATTCGATCAGAAATCGAATGAAATACTACCCAAATTGTCCCAACTGTCATTGACGGGGATTTGGCCGGTTGGGGAAAATAATCAGTTTTAATAGTATCCAGTTTTTTGTTTGTTCAGCGTCCATTGTTATGATTTTTCAATGCCATCAGTGGACAATGCAGTCTGGAATATTTGTGAGTAGCGACCTAGCAACCAGTAAGACCAGCGACCTCGACGTCCTGGCCTGGCTGAAATAGGTTGCATTTGTAGTCTCACTACTTCATCTGCAACTGGGAAACTTTATAAAATTTCAGGAGAGAACCTCGTTGAGTTCTTTCTGATTGTCGCCGATGCACAGGAGACCGGCCTCCAGACTGCGACCTCACGCATCTAGCGTCCGCCGATAACATGACAGGCCAACACTTGCGCCACGCGTTGCGTCAAATTCGCACCGGCACCCGTGTGTTATGTTAATGGAGTCCATTTTTGTGTCCGTGAAATTTTAAAGTGGAACGCATGAACGCATCGTGTACGCAACGCACCCAAAAAACGTACATATGGGAAAAGCGCCTCGATTAAAGGTAATCGGCGTGCACGTGTTTGTGTGTGTGTGTGGGGGGGTTATACCGTCTTCAATCGATCCCATGGTCTCAAGTCACTATCTTTTAGCAGCCCAAGGATTACATTATTTTTTGTGTGAATCGAAATTATAATGATCCGAGTCGTTGCTTCTCCCAAATTGGGAACTTTCCGGCCTGACCGCCCCTTTTATATCATTTCCTCTTAAAGTGCCTCTTTGGCATTTAACTTGTTTCTTCAGATTTCACAAATGCCTAAAGAGAGCCCGCTCTCCGGTGGCAATGGGTGTGGGTGATGTCTATTTCAACCGGCTGAAGATCAAGTGCTTCGTCACGCGTCAAAAGCGGCAGTGTCTGGAGATGACCTGGTTTGGCTCATGCCTCCGGCGAGAGAAGACCGACACAGCTGTCCTGCGGGCCGCTCGCCCCTTTCCGGACGGGAAAAACTTGACCAAAGCTGAGAAGGCGCTACGAAGGAAGAGGAGACGAGGATCCTTCGAACTGAACTGAGCATTTTAGCGATGCTCAATAGCAGGGTTTGGCTCGACTGGAAGGCCTGCATATTGTAATACCGCGGCCACTGCTGTAGCCCAATTGGCCAGACAGCAAATATTTTCGACATTCACAATGCATCATGGAATTGAACGGCAAAGAAAGAAATGCATTTAATTCACAAAGCTATGGGAGAAGTGAAACCTGCAAAACATTAATCTATTTCCCCTTTACTACATATTTATTACAGTCAAAGTCATCCTCTTTTCACAGTGTTGCATAAAGATTACATTTACTCTTGTTAAGATAGTAACAAGAATCGAGTTTTAAAGCAGAGCAGAGACAAAAATTGCGAATCCCTTCCGCGTGCGCCAGTTTCTTTGTTGGACTGAGATCGTAAATGCCAATGAGCTATGAAAATCAGGACTTGAAGCTGCTCATTCGGCCCGCATTGACCAATCACGTTCATATTTAGCCTGTGGTCCTCGAGCTAGATCAAGAGTTTTCTTCTTACAAACTTGAAAAATTGTTCGTTTTGAAAATGTTCAAGTACACTACCCATCCAACTCTGACATAATGAGGGGGTACTTGAAAATAATTATTCTGCAGAAAGTTGTCAGTTGACGTTCGACTGGTTAACTTCACCACAGGTTAGTGTTTGAAATAAGAGCTGTCTCATCAATTTCCATGATGCAATGGGAATGTGGAAAAAAGGTGTGGCATTGTTTTCAATGACTGAAGTTGAGCTCAATACTTGTGTATTATTGTTTGAAACTGTGTAGATGCAGTCTACTTTATGCTGACAATATAATGCTTGAAATCACAATGCACGACGTATCTGCTGCTTTAGAAAACTGTTCGTACTCAGTAACCATTTTTATACAACGTATAAGTTAGGAGGGTTGAGTTTTTATAACCATTTCTGAAATCTCCTAAATTTAGATTTTTACCCACTTAGAACATGTTATGACTTTTAGGCGTGCCTGACGTTTTGTATTACTACGTGCAGTACTAATCGTAACGCTAAGTAGTCGATTGCTTTCGTAACAACTAGGACAGCTTCTAGTCTACTGAGTGCAAATAACATTAAAACTGAGTTCAAGTCCACTGTAAATGAAGTTCATTCACCGACATACTCGGTAAAGCTTTTGGGTACCCTGTTTATGTAATAAATACCATAGTATTATTTATTTCGGCAGCCTACTTGAAAGGTCAAGTGCGTCTTTTGCACACAGGACGATTACCATCGTCACCACAGACGGGCAACCGAGAAAAATTTACCAGTGACCTTTTACTCTGACCAACTCACTTGCAGAGCTGGAGGGATACAGAGAGATAAGTGGAAGCGTGGCCAATATGCATTTTAAATGTACCAAAAATGACACTTGTAAACTACATTCAAAATGTTGTTTTTCACTGTGTGAACTCTGTCTTGCTGATTGTTGATAAAGTTATATGTGCTTTTTGTGTGCATCATTTCACGTAGGCCAATGATCTGTTCTCTTTCCAAGTCACTGCAAAGAACGGTAAAATCATGCACCGAAAGGATTTGATATTTGCACCTGAAAATTGCCAAACTCTTTGTGCGTCCATGCAAGGGCACAATTTTCATAGACTGCTTTTTTCCCTCAGGTGTCTCTTCAGGCACTTAATTATCATAGTACTATATTCTTGCTTTAGGCCAAATTCCACGGATGAGTCGTGTGATTTGCAGACTGTGACGCGTCCTGATTGAGCTCTGCCGGTAAAGCGGCTAGGAATTATACGTGCGTTTATGGCAGCCACTGGCTAGAGGCCGCAGGTTGCAGCCGGCTGTTGAGTGCGGAAGCGTTGCGTCACTTTGAACCGAAGAAGCAGTGCAAATGAATGGAGTTTACACGCTGGTTTGCGCGCTAATGCCTTTTGCAAAAGAAAAAAAACCAAAACAACCCCCCCCCCCAAAAAAAGCACAACCAACAGCTGCCAACATTTTCATATACTCACTGTTGATTGGATGCATCTGTTCAAAATATTCCCCAATCGTAGATGTGGACATTAATAATTTAATATCGTATAACTGCAGAGTATGAAAGCGGAGCACACAATTCAATCTGATAATTACCAGGGATAAATTTGATGCACCGTGGGACCAAGTTCGATGAAGACTACAGCGCCGTCAGTGAAGTGGCAAAAGTTACGCTTGTTTTAGCCCTGACCATACTGAGGCGCTGTACAATTTTCGCTTTGTAAATAAAAAGTGTAAAACATTTTTGGTGTCAGTCAATATTGCAAATTTAGTTTGACTCTGTGAATTTGTAACTTCAATAAAAAAGTACGACATGCAGTGAAATAAAACACTTGTGAAAGTTCAAGAAAGGTTTTTCAATGTAAGTTTGTTTTTAAGAGGACTTTTACATCCGATTTTCCTGTTTGAAAGTAGAAAGTGTTTATGTTTATTTCCTGTCTAGCTGGGTTGAAGTCTTTCAAGGCCGGATAAGGTGATTTGACCTTGTCAAACTAATAATCAATAGTTATGACTTAGGCTGTCTCAATGGTTTCCTAATCAACCAGCAAGCCTATTGGGTATGCTCGTCTGACGTTACAGTCGTGTTTCCTAAAAGTGATCGCTAAATCTATTGTTGGCCGTCGGGACAAAAGTCGAGAATAATATCAAAAAGTGTTGAAAATCCCATGCATCAGTGCCAGAACACACGTTGTACCAAATACTAAATGAAATTGAAATAAAACTTTTTCAACCTTATTTAAAATCAATGGGGACAATTGCCAATGCTGAACGCATCGGAGGTGAAGTCGAAACCAACCAAAAGATGGTATTTCTGCATAGTCTTTAGATTGTCAGCAGTTCAGTGTGTTGGAAACTCTAGATAGGAGCCGACCTTCAAAATTCTTTCTTTTCAAAAACGCAACTAGGCGCAAATATGGCCAACAACTACATACATACATGTACATTGCTTGCGAGTCATTCTGTACAAAAAGAACCCTATCCATTTTCAGCGAGGTAAAGGCCGTCGTATTCACATTGCCAAAACCTCACAATGGCGGTCTCTATGCCAGATATGTCGTGGCTCATAGTCGCAATCGTTGGAGTACTATCCTACTCTACTCAAGGAGCAGACTACTCCGATAACGACGCCAGGGTTTTGATCTTGGGCTGGGGTGCTGCCGGCTTACAGGCGGCCCGGACCTTAAATGATGCTGGCATTGACGATTTCATCATCATCGAAGCAGTCAACCAATTGGGCGTCCGCGTGGCCGACACCCAGTTTGCCAGTATGACCGTTGAGCTGGGCCCCACATGGGCGTTACCCGAGGTATCTCGTGTCGTCAACCTAGTGAGGGACTTAAACCTAAGCCACAGGGCCAGTGACTACGACAGTCTCCTATTCGCAACGACTCGGGTGTCAAAGTTACGGCAAAGCCTTTGATCAATATGACGCCATTGACCCTGCGTACGAAAAGCTGGAGTCGAGGAAAAATGAGAGCCAATGGCAACATCCCAGACATGTCCCAGCGATCTGCCATGCGCGTAGGAGGCTGGATACCGGAGACGGATGTTCAAAGAGCAGTAGAAATCGACTTCACATACGGCGATTCACCGGAGACTACGTCTACTAAACACACCGAGTACATCGGTGGAGACGAGTACTGGATGATGGATGTAGGCGGCCTGAATTAGATCCTCGACGGAGTCGCTGGCTTCTTGAATGAACCCAGTTATGCCAACCACACCTGTCTTGGCAAGACAGTGGTATCCGTCGACTATACCAATGACATATCAGTTATCGTGATCACCCAGGACGGCACGAGGTACATCGGGGAATAAGTCCTTGTCACCTTCAGCCTCGGAGTTCTGCAGCACAACTTGGTCCAGTTCATCCCGCCCCTGCCTAAATGGAAGGACGTGGAGATCAAGAAATTCCAGATGGTTGACCACACTCTAGTCTATATTTGCTTTCCACAGAAGTTTTGGGACGACTCCGAATGGATCCTGCACACCAGCGATAGGAGAGGGTACTACCCAATGTTCTTTAACTTCCAGGCTGAGGGTTTATTTCCCAACGGCACACCACTTTTACTCGCTTTGATCACTGGTAGGTGTTTCACCAACATAGAGCTCCATTGATAGAGCCATCCACTTCTCGTACATACCAACTCTAAACTCACTACTTTTATACATCTTTGGACATATTACAGTCTTTTTGCGAATCTGCGTAGACCCGTATCTATGTATCTTACATTTATCTTTACCTGTCTCTGCCCCTTTACTGCTTGACAGTGGCAGAAATACGATCATCTCAGTCTATTGTTGGTTATCTAAATCAAACTTAATTGAAGGTTGTGCTCACACAATGCGTAGATCATGGAAGTCGTGACAGTCCCAAAACCTGCAATTTCAGTATGATTTTTACATATACCTTAGGGGGTTAGGGTTAAAATTGTGAATGAGTGGTAACGGATGTACACTGTAGGTACTTCCACGTTAAGCCTAAGCTTGGAAACTATATATAGCAGAAGAGCCTTTGAAGGGAGAGGCTGTCTAGTGTAGGGTAGGTGTAATTATGCAGAACAGAAGCTTTTGAGTGTTAAAATGGTGTCCCAGGATTTATTGAGAAAAAGATCTGCCATGAATTCCCCCAACACCACCCTCTTATCTACTGAAACAAAAGGCTTTCCTTGATTTGTCTTTGTCATTCATTACACACGTCTGTGTTGCCTCGTCTCTCCCAGGTGACGAAGCACGGCGTGTGGAAGCTCAGTCCCCTACCGATACCAAGGCAGAGATCTAGGCAGTTCTTCGTGGCATGTACGGCGGCGCCATCCCGGACGCCACTGGCATCCTTGTCACCGACTGGAACCAGAACCCCCTGACCAAAGGTGCCTACTCCAACTTCCCCGTCGAGGTCACCACCGAGTGCTTCCAGAAACTCCAGAGCCGAGTACATCGCGTCTTCTTTGGGGGTGAGGTCACGTCCTACGACTACTTCGGCACCATAGACGGGGCTCTGCGATCCGGCGAGCGTGAAGCGATGAAGATGATAGACTGCATGTCCAACTTCAGCGAGTGTCCCATCTCTGGAATTGACGGGCTAGAATGCGAGGACTCTGGTGGAAATTCTGCATACGCCTCGCGTTCGAGTACATTTCTCGCCGGGATGGCACTTGGCCTGTTTCTTATTAAAACATTTCTTGCTGACTAGAAGATCGGATTTCAGTCTCAAATTGAATTCAACTTCACTTCTTTCCCTGAATTTCATTCCATTGTATTTGAGTAGCGCTTACAATGATCAGAATTAAAGCCAAAATCCTTGGTTTAACCCTTCCATTTCGGCTCCAGGTCGACAGATGCCATAAAATGTTTCTGAACCATGCAATCAATACTTCGTACCATTTTATTCTGCTTACATTTTATTCCATTAGTTTTCTTGACGTGCTTGTGCGTGGCAGCCATTTTCAAGTCAGTGCTTTTGTTACTGAGGGATACCCGAGCGGTCTGCTCATGTGTATCCCTGTGGAACAAAAAACAAACAAAACAACTCCCCCTCATCCAAAAAAAAACAATAACTAAAACAAATTAGGGGTAGTAATTGTTACAGCAACGACGACAGAGCTGTTTTTTATTTCAAGTTGTTTAATGGGGAAAAATGAAATAAAAATCAATATAAACAAAATCACAAGATGACGTCATGATAACGTCAGAAATCTGGAATAGTTATTGTATCAGGGTCTTTGTTGGCTTAACTTTGATAACGACCAAAGATCTCAAAGTTACCAAAATGGGGCTTGAAAACATGAACAAAGTCGATGACCTGAAATACATATCGAAAATCAATAATAAATCAGACGATGACGTCATCATGACGTCATCCATTTGGAATAATTCTTTTATCAGGGCTTTTGTTGGCTTTCACTTTGAAAGCGATCAAACATCGCATAGGTTATAACTCTAATGTTGGCTTGAAAACATGTTCAAAATCAATGAGCTGAAAAACTCATGCAGAAAACTGCTCTTTTCTGCTCTTGTCACGTGATTTGCGTTTAAACTGAAAGAATGTTATGAACTATTACTTGATATTTTTGACTCTTAAGTATCTTTCAAATCGAATGACCCACCATAATATATACGATTTCGCTTTCGTTTTCATAGTTATCTTGAGCCGAAATTGGGGACTACTTTTAGTGAGTAGTAGAAAAGCGTTCACAACTCTATGGCAACAAGTTGAATATTCAAAATTCAAAATTAAATCTCGTGATAACGTCATCATGTTGTCATTATTTTAGTATTTTGTTAGCCTTAGGGTAATTACTTAGTGTAACTTTTATGAAGATCTAAGATTACTTAGTGACGAAAATGATGCTTCGAATCTGCATACGAAGGCTATTGGAAAATTAGAATGCCCAATCCGGCGTAAACGTTTCTTTAAACAACCCAGTCAATTATGTTGACTGAATTTCCTAGTTCAAAATTGACTACGGATTCAGTAAAACACCAAGTTTACGTTGGCAAATCAGGCTTTCTGACAAGATTCCTATTCGATGCCTTTAGAAATATCAATGAACTGAGTGAAAAAAATCTAGTCAGGTTGACAAATTTCCAGTTGAACCCAGCAGACCTTATTGAGCTAGTCAAATTTTACTGAATTCTAGTTAATTTTGACGGATCCTTTTAAGACTGTAAGAGGTCAACGTTTCATATGTATTTGATATATAGTCAATGTTTACTAATTAACACTTTATTCGTAATTCAATAATTAGTAGTCGAGTTTATTTTAATTTTGATTGAATTTCATTCACAGCTAAACAACCGTCAAAGTGTTATTATTGCACGGTCATTAGAATGGTGTATACTTTCAAAGAAAAATGAGAATAAAACTGCATGTACTCAAATGTAACATTCAGAGGTTCTGTATGACACTGCAAAACGATTATTCCCATTTTTAATATTTAGAAAGATCATCGTCATATTTTCTCAGAAACAGCACCCACGAAAGTGCAAATTTAACAAGATATAATATGATAAGAGCATTATACAGAACTTGCCTCAACAAAATTTGATCACGTGTACAGTAAAAGTACTTCGATGAAACTCCCAGCATTTCGATACTTGCAAGGATTTTGTATTCTGTTTTTCAGCAGAATTGTGTGCACTTGAATTGATTTTTTTTGGTGTGCATTTTACATTTTGGTTACAATAAAAAAAGCTAACGGCGCGCAACAGTACTTTACGAGCCCTGAGATGCATATGACGTCTAGGTTTGTTCAAGCACCTTACAAAGAAGACCCCGGTGGTGTCAGATCTGTTCAGGTTCATCCACACCTGGGGGGGGGAGGAATCGGAGCCTTCCCCCAAGGACGAATTTCAAATGCGTGCAAAAGCTTCCACATCCTCCTCCTGACCCATCATGGGCGGCGCAGAGCCGCCCGACCAATGGATGAGATGCAGCCTATCACAGATTGTTGTGCTCGTGTCCCGTGGTCAACTTCCAGCTGGCACATATAAAGTGTTGTAATGTTTTCCCCTAATGTTTTAAATCAAAACGTGGCGAGAGTTAATAAGGTTGTCACTTAAGGTAGATTTAGGAACACAGTGGCCCCAGTCCCCTTCCCAAGTTCCCAATTTCACAAGTGAATCTGTGGTCTAAACAGTGAAATGCCAAAACGCATTTTAATTGGTTCATCATAGATATGCTAGGCCTATACCATAACGTCATCAATGTAGTGACTACTTAGTCCATACTGCAGTGCAAAACGCTGGAAAATGATGCTGTGAATTATAAAACTCGTCAATTAACCGTCAGTTGCGAATTTACAATGGCAGTATTCACGAGAAATGCATTGTGGCTCGTATAGTGGTTGGAGTACTATCCTACTCTACTCAAGGAGCAGACTACTCCGATAACGACACCAGAGTTTTGATCTTGTGTGGGGGTGGTACCGGCTTACAGGCGGCTTGGATCTTGCATGATGTCAGCGTTGACGACTTCATCATTATCAAAGCAGCCAACCGATTGGGCGGCCGCGTGGCCGACACCCAGTTTGGCACTGTGACCGTTGAGCTGGGCCCCACATGGGTGTTTGCTGTGGTATTCTGTGCTGTCAATTTGGTGAGGGAATGTAACCTTAACGTTCTGGTTGTTGATTACGACAGCCTCACTTGCCGCAGCGACGGGGGCGATAACGTTACCAACAAAGCCTTTGATCAATACCACGCCATGGAGTCACTTCGAGGAAAAATGAGAGCCAATGGCAACATCCCAGACATATCCCAGCGATCTGCTCTCTGCGTAGAAAGCTGGATACCGGAGACGGATGTTCAAAGAGCAGTAGAGTGGTTCGAGATCAACTTCACATACGGCGATTCACCGGAGACTATGTCTACCAAAGACACCGAGTACGTCGATGGAGACGAGTAGGCCTACTGGATGATGGATGCAGGTGGCCTGATGCAGATCTTCGACGGAGTCGCAGGCGTCTTGCGAGAGCCTGCTTATTCCAATCACACCTCTCTGGGCAAGACAGTGCCATCTGTCGACTATACCAACGACATATCGGTCATCGTGACCACCCAGGACGCCACGAGGTATATCGGGGAATACGTCCTCGTCATCTTCAGCCTCGGAGTTCTGCAGCACAACTTGGTCCAGTCCATCCCGCCCCTGCCTGGATGGAAGGACGTGGAGATCAAGAAATTCCAGATGGTTGCCCACACTCTAGTCTATATTAGCTTTCCACAGAAGTTTTGGGACGACTCCGAATGGATCCTGCACACCAGCGATAGGAGAGGGTACTACCCAATGTTCTCTAATTTCCAGGCTCAGGAGTTCTTTCCAGATGGCTCACCGGTCAGATTTTTCATCAAGCGTTCGTTACTTACTGAGCTACCTTCTATCGCACCTAGTTGCCGACAGCAATCATTACAGAACACTTGTAATAGCCTTTTAACAGTGATCTGGCAGTGCTTGAAACATGTGGTGGCTTACCTTCATTCATTTTTCAACAGTATTTGGTCTCCCTTTAGCTTTTTGCTTCCGTGTTTTCGTTACAAGATGTTTTACACTTCCACTCAGGTTCCCCCACTAGGTGCCAACCGCGTCCTGAATCAGTCATTGGAAGCTAGCAATTGTTTTGCCAGAAAGTCTTAATTTATCTTTGACGAACTCCAAACTCATCTTCTAATTCAATTCACTGTAGTTCAGTGTGCGACTAAAATCATCATCCCTTTTCACTTTTTGCGATTAGAATGAATTACCTATAAATTATTTCAAAAAATGCCCTACATCTTATGATGGGTAAATATGCGAAGGTTGGGGAGCTAAGGCGTACACGTTTCTAATACATGGACTTTAAGGAAGATCACTCGTCTCCATTCATCAGCGGCCAAATGCACGTTACTTTCCCATCTATAAGTCTGGTTTTCTCCTTCCTTACCCCAGGTGGCGAAGCACGGCGGGTGGATGCTCATTCCCCTGCAGATACCAAGGCAGAGATCCAGGCGGTTGCATGGCAACGCCCTCCCGGACGTCACTGGCATCCTGGTCACCGACTGGAATCACAACCGCTTGACCAAAGGTGCCTACTCCACCTTCCTTGTCGAAGTCACCACCGAGTGTTTCCAGAAACTCCAGAGCCGGGTGCATCTCGTCTTCTTTGGTGGTGAAGCAACGTCCTTCGATGACTTCGGCACCCCAAACGGTGCGCTTCAGTCTGGGGAGCGCGAAGCGACCAAGATTCTTACCTGCATGTCCGACTTCAAGAACTGTCCAATCACCTGCTACCACCCCAATGCGATGATGATTTTACCCGTTTCTCTGGATTAGGTCTGGACTGATTTCTAGAGATCCATTCCAGTGCACTCGTCTTCATTCCCTCGATTTGCGTCAACATCGGTTCGGTTGTTCCTCTTTGGTTAATTTGGGGATTTGACTTCTGCATTATCACAAGTAATTGTTGTCCAATTAAAAAAAGGTTTGTGGCATTACCATTGTCAGCGTCTTGTGAAATACTCAGACCACGTCGGAAGGGCACGGTAATAGCACAATAGCGAGGCCGGCTCTGGGCATAAGTTTGAAGCCTGATTACAATTGATTAGAATGTTGGAAGTGTGGGCTTCCGGCTGTTGGTTCTGTTGAAGTGTGTGTGGGAATTATCACATATTTACCAATCGCTGTTGGTTAGCATCATTTCAGCACTGGTGTTTGGAGTTTCACATTTGCATATTTAGTGATCTATTTTCAGATGGTTTAAGGTCGAGTTTAATTGTAACGAATGAAGTATGGTCTCACATCGAAGAGTGCGATTTAACCCAAGATGTCCATTTAATTGCAAGCTTTTACAATTTCCAGTCTGTTGAATAGCTCATTAATTTCTTGTTTAAAGCACACGTCGACAGATTTGTGGCACTTATTTATCAGACCCTCAACAATTTGATTTTTTTTTTCAAGTGGAGTCTTTTTCAAGGGTACGTTGCTGATAATGTTTTTGGGAACTGAGCTTTTCAAAATGAACAATCAAAAAGGTCTTCTCAAACATCAGCTGGCTGTAAATAATTTTCAAACAAACTTAAATAATTTCATTTAAATATTTCAAAAAGGTAGTTTAAAACATTCTCTCATTTTAAGAATAACGTCAACAAGATAATCAACTTTAAAACCAAATTGAAACAGTGAACACATACAACATTCTTTGACAGTGAACTTTGCTTTGTTTAAAGAGGTGGTCGGCTTAGTTTCTTTCTTTCCTGCTTATTGCTTTTCATTCTCAGGCATTTATGCTGATTTTTATCAGTTCAGATGGTGAAAATATGTAAAGTGCGGCCTTCCTGATCAATGCAATATTTTCCCCCAGGAAAGTTAGTATTCCATCCTGTAGATATGTACCTCCACAAAATTTGGAATGTTTTTTCAAATTACTGTGGGGTTTTCCACTTCCTGCCTTCTTGGCTCCCCACCAACTTTAAGTATAAGCTCCTCTCTTGACTACGGTTCTTGGACTGCAGCGAGACGCTCCCTCATGGTGCGAGCACTGGCGGTCATCAGCGACTTCACCACTTGCCGCTCTGCCTGGCTGGCCGCCCGGACGGACACACAGCGGAACAGACCGCTGCGTTGCTCTAGGCTCCCAGTGCAACGCAACCACTGGTCTCTGATCAGTCGAGGTAGGGGCCGGTCCTAGCAGAGAGAGAGACAGAAACCGTACTGCTCTTCAACACTGCACTCTGTTTCGGTTGTTAATCCATCTGGCACTTTTAGATCTACTCACTGTTTCATAGAAGATGCATTTGAGCGTCTGATCCTCATCTTTGAGGGTGAACATCTTGGCCACGCCGTTCACATCAGAGGAGATAGCAGAATTCATTATTCCTGTACATATGGTGGAGAGAATGGTTTATCATCTCGGAGTGAGGAAGTAGAAATAAAAGACATACACTAATTGTTTCACAGCCAGAATTAACAAATCCATGGAAAATTTTGCAGTGGAAATTTCAAAAGCAAAAGAGTGGCTTGTCAATGGATGAACTGACGGTTTAGCGTAAAAGACTCAACCTCTTTTAAAGTTGCTTACTGTTAAGAGTTTACCGAAGTAATTCCTTCAAACTCACACGAGGGATAAGAAATGAAACGGATGACTTTACCGTCTGGTAATTACCAACTTTTTAAAATATACTTTGACAAGTCAATACAAGGAACCTAAAATTTTGCTTGGATTGGCTTAACAATTTTGAGGAAGAAACGATGCCCCCTTTCCAAAAAACCCACTTAGTTGCAAACCCACCAAAGACTTCACAGACCATGCTGCCCAGTTTGTCCATGTGTTGGCTCCAGTCTCTCATGTCGGCAATGGATGCAGTCAAAACTTTCAGGGAGCGGTCGTCTACCACAGAGCCATCCTGTTGCCCCTCTCTATTTACCGACAGCTGCCCAATTGGGCCAGAAAAAATTGAGAGAAGTGATCAACTCGAGCCATATTCTGACTTCTATTGCCCACTCAGATCTCTTATTAAATTCAGAGCTGTTTATGGGGGATGAATCTAGCCAGCAAAGCATATCCACAGGCAAGAGTTATTTGGGGAGGGGGGGGCCCAGGGAATACTTGCACTTGTGTTGGAGGTCTCAAGACTAGTCGTGTTCTCGAGTCTGGAATCGCAAACCACTGTTTGCTTGTCTTTTCTATTTGGACTGTCTTGGACCAACGGGTCTCCAAGTTTTGCTGGTATCAGAGACCAAACCGAGAACAACCTGTAACCAGCCACAACTCACAAAATGTATATTTAGTGCATCTTCAAAAAAGTTTTTGCCAGTGTTTTGTTTGTATTTTTGGCAGAACTGAAGTGCATAAAATTCCATTACCATTGTTGCAAAAGGGAAGACATGACTTTAAAAGGAGAGAAAAGGTGGGATATATTCAGCACTGCAGAAGTTGCTGGAATAATACATCATGTTTTGCTAGCCCCCTATTCAATGAAGTTCAGCATGTTATTATCAAAGTTTAGAACAAAAGGCCACAAAAATCACTCAACAGTGACGGTAAATGCATTGCCAAAGAACATAATTCAAAATTAACTAAGCGAGTGTATTTCTTTTTTCGGCTGACCATATGTTGCATAGATTATCAACTTCACTGAGTTTACATGAAATTTTGAACGGAGGATGCTGGTTGGAAAGGCAGCCTGGCATTATGTCGTTGAAACCTAACAATCACTTCCAACTTCTACAAATGTCCCTTATACTTTCCAAATCCTCCATATGTCATTCCACTGACTCCATCATAAAATAATAGACCTTATGATGGGGAAGCAATGGTTAATCTTGTTCCTGGCTCCATTATATTCAATGTGATCTCTTAAATGGGGTGGTGCCACACCATTTTGGATTCAAAACTCCACTTTCATTTTTTAAAAAGTTGGCTTACAACATTTATACCACAAATTTGAAATTAGTCTCATAAAAAACTGGTGAATTTGTAAGAAATTTAATTTTGTCACTTTTATTTTCGCTCTCAGGTTCCCCAAACAAAATGTTTTGCCTCATTTTCAATTCAAGATGGCCGACTCATAAATACAGTTTATTTGCAAGTCGTGCAGTAGTACTTGACAAGCCTTGATAAGTAAGTTGCCATGGTGTCTCAAGAATGTTTCAGATTAAGTTGGTAGCCATGCCCTAACTCACCCGGTTGCTGGCAGCGTTTGGTCTCGGGCTCTGGGAGGAAAATGCAGCAGGTTGATGAGGAGGCCTGCTGTTCTGTTGCCAGTGGGCTCTTTGGCGAGATGGATCAGACTGAAATTGGAACCTTGGCTTGGGGACACAGCCTGGGCCTGTCCAAGCCTGTCGGACATTCCCAAAGGGAGGACAGTTGGGCCTAGTCATTTAGAATGGGAAGAAAAATCTCATCATAACAATTAATTCTAAGTCTAATGCTCAATATGGACTGACGGATCTTATTTGCACAGTTTTTTTAACTTAAAGATCTTGAGGTGATTCAACCTTTGGGGTGCCCAAAATTCACTCTAAAACTATTCACTCAAGAGAAAAACCCAAAAGGCTTCCTTGTTCTACAGAAAAAAATTATAAAAGTAAAGTGGGACATTTTGCACGCATAGTCACCCAAAATGATGATTTTCATCAGTGTTTCCGTACGTGTCCCTGGGGTGGCATAGAATCTTGTGCACTTCTTTATAAAAAAAGAGCCCAATGGTTTCCCTTAACCCATCATTTCATGCAATGTCTTCTAGGGAAACATATTGATTTCATACACCATTGGAGAGTGATAACATGTAATTTTCAAGGATTCTCAGTTCATAGCCATAAAGACATACAACCTGGGGCATTGTTTTCAAACGCTTGTGTAAAAATTCCGAGCCAGAAGGTTTTCCTGTAAACAGAGGGATCCAGAACCCAGTTTGTGGCCCAGAAATTTGGGAAGTCTTGATGTTACTTTAGTATGGCTCTTTTGAGGGTGAGGCAACAGTTGGGGCCTTTTTACAATTCAGCTTTACAAAGGGAGGGGAATAAAACAGTCCCCCAGATTATTTTCTGTCACCATTTTTCAAAAAACCAAAAATGGTGACTGTTGTTTTCTTTCATTTTAGTGCTGTGGCCTCCCCCCCCGATTCATGCCCGTGGTCAGATAGCCTATATCACGCGGTAACAAAGCACTTCTTGTCAAGAGGGCCTGTAAATGAACAAATTAGTAACACTACTACTGCCGGCCTGAGAAGTGGGGTCAGGGGGGCTAGTAGCCCCCCTGACCCCACTTTTTCTATTTGGGGGGCATTGCCCCCCCCAACTCTTTTGCAAGTCCTGTAATGGAGTGAGGCTTAATGGAATGGCCTGTCCATGGCTGATGCCAGATGATCTCAGAATTACCTCCCGCCACCACCCCACTTTGAAAATTGCTCTGCCACCAGTGATTCCTACTTGCCTGTAGCATTCTTTTTCAAGCCTCTTGCTTTTACCTGTTTGGAGGGAAGGAGCTGTTTGGGCCAGCCCACTGCTGCCCGCTGTGGTCCATACACGCTGCTTCCACACCAGAGGGGGCCCTTCCCCCAACACCGTAACCCGGAGCCTGCGCGGACAAGCTCCAGGGATTAGGAGGTGACGAGGCTGGGAAGTTCCCTTGAAGGGAGGAAAAAATATGATGAGGAGTTTCACCCCTGGGTGCTATGAGTCCCTCAGGTTTTAAAATGTCATTTCCCACATCACAGCAGTCAATATTGTGAGATTGCTTAAGGAATAAGCTTGATTTTTTTTCTGTCAGACACATAAAACTTAAATTCCCCTTCACTGTCCTCCCTCAAAAAAGATTGGTGGCTGCACTGTATGAAGTATTTATACCAAGCACTCTCAAGAATTCTGAGTTCAGTGTTTTGAGGCACTTGGTCGTTACTCCTTTGGTGAAAAATTCAACACCAAAAATATTCACCAAGATACCAGCACACCAACAGTCAGAGCTTACATGCGCATTTAAATGTCCATACCAGTTTCATTGGGAACTCAAATTATAACAATAAATAATTTAATTGATAATTTTGAGCCTCCCTTAATGCAATACTACTATGTGTCATTAACAACTGATCATTGGTGTATTTTTTAAATGGTATTTTGTCAAGTTTATGTATTCAAATCTGTGGTTTTTGTGTGCTTTTTACATTGACAGGCACGCACATAAAAGAAACTACTAATTGCTGAGTGCAGGAAGACGCTAGGATTTAATTTGAATATCGGGGGCATGCAGCCTGGTGGTTAGAGTTTGTAGCTTCTCATCATAGGCTCGGGAGTTCAAATCCAGCTGATGGCAGCATGTTGTGATCTGCTGGCAAGTCACTTCACCCCTACGTGCCTCTTTCCACCCAGGAGTAAATGGGGGACATACGGTATATCATGAATCCAGTGATATTTCACTGGGCATTCCTAATGGCCCCTTTTAATGGCAGAAAGCATTTTCGTTGGGTTTTGTGCAGAGCAAGTGTCACTGAGGACTGGCTCCCTTAGATAGTTATCACAATGGTGTCCGCCATTAGTGGGGGCCACTGTAAGTGAACATTGAAAGCATTACCATGGTCATCAGATTGGTCTATGTTATTTCTGCTGGAGAAAATAGATCCACATGCTGCCTGAAGGTCTCAGCTCGGTGGACACAATTTTAATGACACTGAATCCTGCAGGCAAAGATGGAAATGGAATCTTGAAGAATTCCCCTCAGGTATTACCTCTGCTATTAGAACTTCCATTCCAGGGTTGTCTCCAGTTGTTGAAGTTACTGTTGTTCAGCTGTCGATGAGCAGCAGGTTTCTGGGTGTTGAAGGCAATGCGAGGCTGCTTAGCAGGGCGGCTGTAGGATGCAGATGGCTGAGAGAAATTTCCTACAGAATGAAAAATTTCGGATTTTTCAACTACGAATTAAAGAAAACCTGGAAGTTTCCCACCTGTACAAAAATGTGTGTGTAAAGCTGCATCTAAAGTAAAGCTCTCCTTTAGTTGTTAGAATTTTTTTTAGACATGATGGTCTTAATGTTACAATTCCTGACAACATGGATTTGGTAAGTATTGAGGTTAACACTTTTTAATTTGCTGGTCGAAAAGTTTCATGTTGATTTTATTTATACTTAAATTCAAATTTATAGGTTTTGTAAGATGTCATATTTAAACTTTAACTTTGTAAAATAATGTTAAAAATATGGTCAGTTTGTATTTCCTGATTTCTTACAAAACTGCATTTCAATGGATAAAAAAGAAACATATTGGATAAGGGTTTGGAAAGTGCATAACACGCTGGATTTTCTCACTCGTTGACATAAAATTGATTGTGACGAGTCCAATTTAACCTATACTTTGGGTCCTTGTCAACGGAACCTTATCTGAAAAGCAGTTGACTTTTTGTTACCCCTGAAGTCTGCATTGTTGGTGTTCTCATTCTTTGGATGTGGAAAGAGGGCCTGGCGAGGCCTCTTATTTCTGTCAAATGATGGCGGGACTTTTTCTGCAGGTAAAATATGAGGGTAAATTATTCTCAGTTATTTGCTTATGTTTCCACAAAATTTGGCATATGTTATAAGGTTAGTAGAATACAAGGTTTTACTTCAACCTTTGAAAATGCACCTTTATGTTTCAATTAATTGTATTCTTGTTTTGCTATTTTCAAAGTTATTTTGACACCTGTTGTTTTTTAAGCTAATAAGAATTTCAACATTCACGAAAAAATTTTGAGGTCATCCCAGAGAGAAAACCTCAAATGTTGCACTGATTTGTACTAAAAAAAAGTGGAGTCAATTGATATTTGCTGTCCTAAAGTTCCATTTCTTTTTCAAATTTATTGTTGCATAAGTGCTTGGCAATAAGCTGATGCCCAGTCCTCTCTCAGAAATAAGTTCAATTAGTTTAATTTGGATTCATAATTTCTGCAGATAAATATTAAAACTGAACAGTGTCTTTCCAGATTGATTGGCAACACTTGAGCAGTTCAAACTTTACAAAAAATAAGTGCACATTAATTTCCATACAATGGAGAAGAGTAATGATATGCACTTAAAGTGTGTCTTAGAAAAATTCTTCACAGTAATCTTTGATATGTTCACTGGGATGTCAGAAAAGTTCAAATTGGCGACTTCTGACTGGTTAAAAGTTTGGCTGCCTCAGATTCGACAATAGAGGGAGCCCTCCGCCTTGCATAGTTTGAGCCACAGGATTTGAGCTGCCTTTAGAAAAAATAGCATTTCAGCTGATATGAGCTACAATTTTATTTGGTACTAACTTTGATTTGGAAAAAGGGTAAATTGTCATGATTTTTTTCTTATATGAGCGGCTGAACTTTAATCATAGCCTTACTTTTCTCTTGCATCTCAGATTTTCAGTTGCACTGTATCAACGTCGCCGACGTCCCTGAATTTTGCTGAAAAGAATCATGGGGAATAAAAAGAGGTAAAGTTTACTAAAGCTAAAAGGACCTTCATGTTGTTTGTCACAGTCTGGAAACTGTCCAAACCGTGAATTACATTAATGATCTATAAAAAAAGAGATGATGCCTGAAAACCGGTTTAATTGTTAAACGGTCAGTGATTGCGGATACAATCTCTCTCTAATGATGTCGAGATCTCGTCTGTTGCGCTTGCCTGCGCTTTAGGCATCAAACAGCCCTGGTGTTGAAAAATGCAGACTTTTCATTGTTAAACTTTGAGTGATAATAATACAGGAAAACTAAACCTACCGGAGTGCGACAGTGCTGTGTCCAATGTAGGGATGAAGTTTAAAACAAATTGAACACTCGATTTCGACTCAAACTCTCACAACTTTTCCGCAGATTACTACATGTACATAAATTAATTATCTTGGTCAATAGAGGGCGCTAAGCACCACGACCAATAGCTAGCGCTACACGCTGCTGCGCTGGTGGACGTGCCGGCGCTACACGCGCACACATTATCGTCGGGCGATCCGACGATTGGACAATCGATATCCGAATGCCGTACAGCATCGTATTCACACATCTAGTTATCAACATCCTTATTTTCCTCAGTTTTGGTGGCAAGAGCCTAAGCTTCGACAGCTGGTAAGTATGCAGCTTCAAGTGTTTCTTACTAGTTAACTTAGCATATATAGGCCCACATGTAAGATGTAGGCCCTACATGTAGGCACACGCTGAGGCAGTGGCCCCGTGATGTAGGCTGCAGAACTAAAACGGTGACGCAGGCCTACAATTTTTCACATGCACATCACAGATCCTTGAATTGGACCTGTCACTTAGAGTGATTTAGTGTCAATCATGCACGGTAAGCGCCATGTAGGTGCGGATGGATGCTGTTTGTTGCCATGTGGGCCTAGATGAAGAGGTTCATTAGTAATCCGCTACATGTATTGATAGGCCCCTACATGTACCTGCCTACCAGGGCCTGTGCATTATCCAGGAGGACATGATGGAGGAAGGAACATATCAGAGACAGAAAGACAGAACCTCATCGATATTAATTATTATGTTATGCCCCAGCTTGGTCTATCTGACAGTAAATGCCTAGTGTTTGTTGCCATGTGTTGGGACAGTCCCAACTATAGTCAGGTATTGTGTAGTCTATTGGTGGCCAATCTCTCTACAAAATTTCTCAACCTTCCCCGAGTTTACATGTACATGCAGCTCACACCTCAGCACCTGACATGCATGACATAAAATATAGCATCTCATAGTGAAACCACATTTCTGCAAGCACGAGTTGATGATGTAAACAAAATGACTTCGGCATGCACACACTGTGCTGTAATCGGGCCGGCCCAACTACACGTATAGCAATATAGTTGGGACAGTCCCAACTACATGTATAGTTGGGACTAATGCTGTACTGGGCGTAACACTAATGATTATCTTTACTGTAATAGCACATGGGTGATTTTGCACAAAAGAAAGGCATAGTTTGAAGGAAACAGGGGCACTTGTTCCTTCCCACAGTGCCTTTCTAACATTGGGCAAATTCACCAATGCAGTACTACTATTATAGAGGTAAGGCTCAGGCCTATGTATAACCCTGGAGCACATAGCCGAGCTTGTATTCCACTCGGCCTACCGCCCCTGCCTAACATCACTAGTGTAGAGTTTCTGAAGATCAACCTGTCAGCAGACTAATTCGTGTCAGTAAACTTGCACAGTATTTGCAAGGCATGGAAGCGAAGATTGCCTTCGCTCAGAGATGTACATCATGTACAGGGTGTATGTTATAAATATACATGTGTAGCCATCATACCAGTGGAGATCTTCCTCTTTCCAGCTGAACTAGTCAACAGCAGCATCCTTAACATTTTGTAAAAGTTCAGAAAAACATTTTGCTCGGGTGCTGATTGGTTGAAATGTCCCTTTTCATCCAACTTGAACTTGACAAGAACAATTTCTTTTGTTTTCTAAATAGTGGGCTTCAAAGCTCCATGACCCCATACATGTAATGTCAGTTGCACTGTCCTTACTCATGTACTCATATATGTACACAAAATGTACACATTGTGACAGTTAACAGGATTGGTAAAAACTGATGTGTACAATGCTGTGCTAAATGAACATGCAGTTAACTTGGCAGGACCCTGTCCCTGTGAAATTACAGGCCTAGTCGGCCTTTGACCAGCTTCCGACCATTTTGTCAGACCGAAAGCAGACATGGTTAAAAAAATGTCCAAAGGAAATGTAAAGTCCCAGAAGTAAAATCCTGTTGTTTAACTCTCTGTGCTTAGAACATTGAAATTTTGAGAGTGCATTTTTAAGTGTCCTGGGTATTTATTATATCAAAAGATGATTATGGCTTGGCCAAATTGATCTTACTTGCACATTTTGTCAGACTGCTTTTTGGGCCTAAAATGCCATGAACATGTACTTTACATGTATGTACATGTACCGATATACTGAATGAAGGTTAGAGTCTGCATTTTCTGTACAGATTCATGTACATGTATCACATACACATGTTCATACATGTACAGAGAACGCAGAACCTGGAGAAGACAGAAAGTACCGAATATTTTGATGTGGAGTTCACAGGTATGCCACGGTGACCTGTGGTGCGATGAAATGCCATTCACCTTCATTGATGCATACACTGTAGGTGTATCTGCAAACTGATTCTTGGGCAAGAGTACGGTGAACATGTGCATGTATGTGGCTCATTCAGATTCGTCAACTGTGAAATGAGTCATGCTTGTGTTGTGAAATACAAAAACACTGGTGCATATATTGCATACAAACTAGTAAACATCTCCTGCCCTGCGCAAACACTCTCTTATAACCAATCAGTGGGATTCAATATTTTGTTATGCTTAAATTGCTCTTGGACAGCAACTTTCCTCTTCAGTTGTGGCAGTTCATGCGCATCTAAAAGACTTGCTGGTGAGAGGAAGAGATCCTGCAAGATTCCCCTTCATCTTGATCGGTTGTGCTGCTTAACTAAGAATTGACCAAGCTTCCTTTGTATTACCATCTACGTAAATGCCAACTTTCTTAACAGGTCAATTAAGCAGGTGATCCTAACGTTTGTTGTACATTGAAGGAATTGTTGGTTCAGCAGTCTGCAAACTTGGTCAGTGCTAACCAGTACCAACATGTACATGTACATTGTACATGTACTGGTACCGTACATGTCAGAGTGTTCTCTACTTCATTGCCTTGCGCTACTGAGGCGTTGTGATCCTTGTTTCATTCATACGTCCTTGGCATATTGCCCCCAACATGATAATTATCATGTACATGTAGTAAAAATAATTTGAGGAAGTTTCACTATTTCCTGGTACTTGCAAATTGAAATTAGCTCGCACTGTGTAATTACAGAAATAATGGTCTGGGAAATACGGTAGGTATGTTGTACATATGTACATGTAGCGTGCGTAGCACAGTGTAGTACTGGCTACATGTACATGGTGTATAGAACAGTATATGAAGTGCTGTTAAGCAGAAAAATAGAGTTTTGCAGAAAAATTTGAACACTCCAAAGATCAAACACAAATTCTGTGTACATCTTTTGATAATCAACCATACTTTCTTTTCCAGAATCATAAGAATTTATGGTGAGAGCTTGCCAGATGTGCACATGTGCTAATTTTGTACACGACACAATCAACAAAATCTCACGTACATGTACATGTATGTGGGGTGCATGTGTATCTGTGCTGGATAGATACATTCTGTTCATGTTAACTATGAACTTCTATACGAACACATTCATTTATGTTTCCACATTTACAATCAGTGGTTTCAGAAACTGGTTGTTTAGGGGAATTGTACCAGTGTAGGGATATATCCCCCATACCTGTAGGAACTACATGTCCACATACTGGTACTCGTGCCTGCATCATTTACTGGGGTAGTGTACATCATTTGTACGTGTACCGGTACATGTGCTTAGCAGCTGTTACAGTAGCCGTCATCCCCATCAACACCTGTGCACCATTGTATCTTTGTACAGAACGGGTGGTAGAGATACTAACGCTGGATATTGGTACACATACCCGGTGTTCTTGTTGCTCCGTGCTCTCAGCCAGCTTCAATGCATGTGTACATGTACTTTCTTGACAAGGGGATATTAGTTCGAAAGTGCATGTGCAGTCTGCAGTGTATCATGTCATAAGCATGGTAATTGGAGTGTGACAGTTTAGTTTTATGAGGAAGTAATGTAAAAATTGACTTGATGAGAGGAAGTTATATGAGGAAATATAGGATTTCATTGGAAGATCATCGTACCTGGATACATGTGAATGGCATATGGGCATAGAGTACTTGTACATGTATACATCTACATGTACACAAGTCATGTACATGCCCACATGTGGTAGTATACTGGTACTTGTAAATTTTATGTACATGTAAATTTTATGTACATGTACTTTTCTCTGTAGAGAATCTTTATTGGAATCCTTACTGAATCCAACGATTAAATGTGTAATATGCCACTGGGTATTGACCAAAGATCGTATAGCACCGCAAAGCGGCGCAAGATGGGGAACTTCAGCGTGAATGCACGTAAAATGTTGTAATCGCATGGGCGCCATTTTAGCAAGCGATACGCATGCGCAATGCACATTAATGCACAGGCGCCGCGGCAGGCACGTGCACCTGGTGAGCCTGTGCCCAAGCATTACCGTAAACTGCACAGGCGTATCGCTTGCTCAAATGCCGCCCATGGTAATTACATCTTTTGGGCAGAGTTATCCATCTTGCGCCTTCGGCGCTACACAATCTTTGGTATTGACACAGTAATTAACGCACAATGTTTACTGCCCCAAATTTCAATTTTGAACATCAGGCACCTTGCATGTTGCATGCACAAGGGGCTGCTGGCTGGTGAAATACAGTACATAATAGGATAAACTGAGAATATGGTATGGTTACTATCCGTGCACTAGCATCGGTTCATGTACAGATTTTTTTTTTAAATTTTAAACCAAGTCTTCAGTATACAGTACCTTGACTGCTAGTGGAAGGCCAGCTCCTTATTTTTTGTCTAGTCACTTACCCAGGTCCTTTTGACATATCAGGTGTCTTCATTCGCAGCCAAGACCCAAATTTCAATCTCAAACCACAGTTTTTCTGTGGGCCAGGTATTTGTGGAATGCTGACCTGTGTGGAAGCCTGCAAACCTGTTGGTAAGCCACACTCCAGTCCAGGAAACAATCTGTGGCCAGGGGGTATTGTCTTAAAGCCAGTGGTGTGAACTTGAGGGGGGGAGGGTTACAAAAGAAAGAATATATAGATTTAATTGTTGGAAATGGTCATGGCTCAAGGGTGGGTTGAAAGGTAAACTTATTTGCTTATACATGTAAGTTCAGGATCTTTCCTGTATCGTGGCTGCGCTGTCAAAAATTAATGTGCAGATTGAGAATTGTATGCATACAGGCAAATTGTTGAAATTGAACACATTCACTGCACGGTGTAAGTGTGTAACTGTGCATGCGTACATGTACTGAATGTGTACGGAGACCAGGGACCAAAACTGTCCCCATAACACTGTGGGACATGGGCCATTATTATGCTTAATTTTAGAGTTTCATGCAACACCCGTGGGGACAACCTACAGTTGTCATTGATGAGTTTGGTATACAAGTTTACATCGCTGACCAAAAATTTCAACATCCCCACCCAGGGGGGTGCTCACTATTTAAAACAACGATTACAGGTGGTGCGCTCCACAGGCCTTTGTACTCGTACGTGAAGACACTGCTGATTGCCTAAGTGTACAATGTAAAAGATAAACATCCAAGTCCAAGACATTGGTATTAGCAAAGTGATAGAAAATCTTCATTTTTTACAGCTTTGTGTGCAATTATTAATCAGTGGGGATGAGCCATTTTAAGATTTTTATAAAATTTCACGCAATATTACATGTAGCTGTAAATTAAGTTGTCCCCAGCTTTGTTGCACGAAACTACGACTTAGGATGGCATGTGCAGCGGCCTAATAAGCCATTTGCGGGTTGAATTTATTCAAAATCTGGTACATTGAGTTCTTTCAATTCACGCGAACATAACAACTTGAATTCTCCATATTAAACCACTGTTGTTCTACCTTGTGATTCGGGGCAAGCTTTTGCTTAGTTACATGTACATAAGAGATGCCTTGCAACAATACACTGTTCTCAATGGATAAGAACGACACAAAGGAACCAGTCCATTCCAGAGATTTTGGTTGCTATGCAAAAGCTTGCCCTGAATCACGAGGTATAGCAACAGTGACTTTAGTCTGGGGAATTCAAATTGTTACGCTTCTGTGCAATCAGAAGTGTAACAATCACAGTGTACCGGATTTTATTCAAATTGAACTCACAAGTGTCTTATTGTTGATCCCACAATGTCTGTGTTTCGACATGTGTAGTCCCAATTGCTACTGTACGCTGTACACCCATGCTGTACACAGCATATGTGCAGAAATTGAAGACCTTCAATTTTGAAGCAATATTTGTAGTAGTGGAGGGGAGAATGAGTGAAATTTGCTGATAACAGTGTGTCCTCTGAATCTCTATGTTTTCACAATTTAATGAGATTTTTTCTGCCCTCAGGAGTCAGGAAAATGTGCCATCCACACTCTCCTAGAAGGCCCTCTGATTTTTTTTCAGAATCGACATGCCTTCACAAAAGAGATGAAGATTTATCAGATAAGCAAATGTTTGGTTGCCTCTTGTGATATAATCTAAATCAAATAAATAGTACAGTGCTGCTATTCTGAAGTTTGCATGTGTCCATGTACTGGTATACATGCGTATGGCACATACAAACATGTACATGTTGTACTGTGCACAGTTGCAGTACACAAGTAACATTATTAGCAATTCTGATTTCAGAATAACACGCTGATTTTCAGCTTAGGACCCTGGTTATGTAAATTAGGCCTCGTCCTGGAAATAAATGTGTACGTGTTGCAGTATCATAACCGGTAATTGGAAATTCAAACCAATATCTTTAATGTCAAAATTGTCTCTACCCACGTACGTACATGTATGTACATGTACGCGTATGTACCCGTATGTACACATGTACCGTACCGATACACGTCTACATTGTAAATGTACATGTCTACTACATTTACTGTATATTGTATACCTACGGTACATTTACATGTAAAGTGCTGTGGTCGTGAGTACCGGGCATGGTAAATTCTAGTCATGTTGGTTTCAATTGAACAAGATCATAAATTTTAGCTTACTAAATACAATTGTTCATTTCACATACATGTACATGTGTGTCCATGTACCAGTAGCATCTTGATACGTTATGTACATGTATCTTAAGTTCAATATATAAAAATTCCCTATTGTATAAAAATGTCGAATGCATCATGTACATGTTAGTCTATGGATTATAAATTGATTAACTTTTGTTTATAAATAATTATATATTTTTGGGAGGTCTTACGTGATTGATTTTGATCCTTTTTATGTTGTGTTTTAGTGGAACCATTTTGAAAATGTCGAACTTCAAAATGACAAGTTGTACACCTATGATCTACCAGTACTAAATACAAGTGTACACTGTACATGTATTGTACAGTATGTCAAAATAACTACCGTGTAGAAATGTTAAGCTTTCCAGACGGTTTTGGCTGGTGAAATAGTTTCTGTGTCCCTTGAAAATTGGCCCCTGAGGTAGGTGACTTTGTGGTAGGGAAATTTCTGAATTCCCAGGTCACATTTCTCAAATTACAAATGATCATCTCAACCTCAGTGCCAGAGTTTGCATCTCTGGCATGTGCAGCTGAAGTATGGAAGTAATGTCCTCCCATGGTCCTCCCAAGTAACAAATGTACATAGCAAGTGTTGTTGAGAAGTCTGATTGGTCAAAAAAAGTGGTTATGATAGACTGGTGATCTGATCACAGGCGAGTAATGTTGAGAGCTGGTAATGAACATATTCAACACGTGAACAACTTGGCCTAGGTACTGACTTTCTTGCTTGGCAGAAAAAAAAGTTATCATCTAAAAAAAAATCAGTGATATGCTGATGCTTTGAAGTGGAGATAATGTTTGGCACTAGTTCTGAAAGATTTGCAGAATTTCCAACCTTTCAGTCTTTCTGAGAATCTCTTGGTGCACTTCGCCATGAACAGTAATTTTTGCTTCCATCTCTATGGAAATGGTTCAAGTCGTGATAGGAGATGAAGTTGTACAAATCCTGGTTTGCCAATTGAAATGACCTTCTTAAAAGAACAAACAACCAAAATCAGAAAAAAGAAAAAACTAAAAGTGTCCCATTCGTTGCACTGCTGTGCTAGACCTTAAAATTGCATTCATTGAGCAGGTTAATCAAATTCATTTGTTCGGTACTTGCAGATCTCTAGTTGTGTACTTGTCATTAGCAACAAAGTGTAATTTTTCACCTTGAAAATCTGAAGCAGTTTCTGACCTCTTGAACATGATTGAAAGTTAGGATTGGCAATGCCATTCTCGACCTTTGTATTTTTATACTCGTACATGTACGTACTCATTGACATTAAGCACAATGGCACTAGGCTTGCCCCCATGGTGCTTCAACTCCCTGGGACAGTAACGTTAACAGGGAAGGCAGGAACCATGACAAATATCCAATAAGGTCTACCTACCGGTAGATGTCCAAGGGCTCCAGAGATGCACAGCCCTCAAGTGTAATAATTTCCTGTATACTGTACTTGTACATAAATTTCTGATGCACCCCTATGCAAATCGGACCCTTTGTCATTAGTTAAGATCTCTGACTTTCACTTTTCAGCGTTTAGGGAAGTTCCAGTGGAACGGGAAGGTTGAGATTCAGGTTATGAGTTAGTAGGTGGCAGTAATGTACTAAATGTGGGGGGGGAATAAACATCACTTTTCCCAGCCAAAATTAGATCTTCCATGTCATGATTTTCCATGCAACAGGTGGCTCTAAAGCTAGTTTCGGTTCCAGACCCAGGGGTAATAACTTGACACCGGCCACTTTATAAAAAGGATGGAGAAATATTGCTGCTGGGAATATCCAGTAAACACAGAGCCTCTAGAGGTTGGGGATGAAATAGTCTTTGGGGTCGTGGGTCAACGCAAATGGAATCTTTTTTTGGTTGGGCAGTATTGCCTGTGCTAAGGGCACATCTTCGTAGAGAAAGGTGAGTACTGTGATTTTTTTTTTTTTGCACATGTAGCATGTACCGTACAGTACATGTACATGTATATTACACATATATTCACTCTGTCTCAATTGTATGTTTTTGGCATTGTGTCCATTTTTTATCAAGTCCATAGGTGTAGGGGGCTCACTCTCTTGCGATGGTGTAGTATTATTGAATTGTACCACATGTATGCATTTCACAAATGAACTATCGGTACTCAGATTACTATACATTCGGTAGCAATCTGTCACCAAAGGCTGTCCCAATCACCGTTTAATTGACATTCCTGTGCAAGTTCACGTATATTTTAATATGCACTTTGATAAAGAAAAGTTTATTTAACGGTGAAAATCAACTCCGTCACACGTACCCGTACGTGTAGAAACCTTTGTAGATTTTCTGAGTGAACTGTAGTGTGGATGGCACTTTGTAAACATCTCCATCACAACATTGCCAGTCCTTTGCCATCAGGGCTTACATGTAGCAGTGGGGTATGCTCCGGCCAAAAGATATTCAAAATTCTGTGGATAAAAATAACGTGACGCAGATTCTTCGGACTTGACTCATTCGAGAAAACATCTTAGAAATGCAGTCTGGCAATTACACATGTCACGGTCTTGCACAAGAGTACTAGTACGTGGCTTGTTTTGCATGTGTGTGTCAAACGTTACATGTTTACGCATGTAAATCAAAATCCTATTAATGATCTTGTCTTTCGAGACAGAGCCGTTCTTTCTGGTGGGAAGCAGGAATTGAAGCCACTGAGGTTTGCCTAATGCCCAGAGGGGCAGTGAAATCCTCAGGACACCCCGCAGATTTCCTGTTTGTTTGCCTAAGCCCAACCACTGAAATGAACCACACTAAAAAACCTCAAGCCGTACATGGGTGTGTGTGACTGCAGCATGAGAATTTTTTCACATTGTTGCCAATCAATCATTGCGGGATGAGTGCTCTGCGTGTGGAAAAGACATTTAAATTTGATTTTTCTTTTGTGGTGAACGCAGTCGGTCTGCCAAAACTGGCCACCATTCATTTTGCACAAAGAAATATAGTTAGTGCAGTAAAATTGGCATGTACTAGAGTACAAGGTAAATGCCAGCCCATGTGGCATGTGCATGAATCGAATCATGCATGTATATCTTTATCTTGCTTTCTGAACTTTAAATACTAGTACTTGTAGCTAATCATGCACTGATGCAATGTACATGTACTAGTACACATGTGCACATGAAGTGAGCTGGATAAAATATTGACTGCCATGCATATGAAATGAAAGTAAGGTCACAGCCACAAAGACGCTTGCATTATTTCAAGCTACAACCAAATACATGTAATTTGGACATGTGCCTTGAGCTACAGTAAATGTACGTACATGTACATGTACTGTAACAGTACCGGTACATGTACTACTGTACACTACAAATGTACCTGGTGTCACCGAGTACCAGTACATGTCTACATGTACATGTATGAACATGATATGGTTTACTTCTGGTGGAATTGTTTTTCATTGTGTAATATAGAAAGGGATGTCCATGTGCCAGTACATACATGTATGTAAATACATGTACATATATAGGGCTTACACTGTACATTATTTAGATGTACATGTACTTTCTGCACCAAGACATAATTTCAATTTTTTGTACTCTGTACAAGATTATTAGTCATGTTTATGCCATGCTTTCTCTTTGACTGTTGGATCAAGACTGGGGTTCCTTCCTCCATGGGTTAACATCCCAGTGGATAAATTTTACCACCGATAACTCTTAGAGGGTTGACATGGGAATATAGAGGTTCTGCATGGTTGCCATCTTTCCGGTAACTGCTTTTGTGAATGAAGGGATCTACTCATGTGTATCCCTGTGGAACAAAAGCTAAAGCTCTTACCAGAAAAATGGCAGCTCCATAAAACCACTACACTGCCGTACATCGAATTTGAACAAAATTGAACCCAGACACTAGCAAGGAGTGCATTCCTGGAAGGATCACTTTATACTGAAAAACCAAAGAACTATAACATATGCAATACATGTACATGTACACATGTACATGTATGAGCATGGAGCCTCCACTCCACACTGTGGCCGAATGTGCGCCAGACTTGTCTGTCTGGGAAAATTGACCTGATCAGTTTTACTGGACAGTTTCGTTGGCAAGAGTGGATTCGGGAATGATTTATTACCGATTGAAAAGCGCTCCAGGTGCTTCATACCTGAATAAAAATACAATGTAACTAACCACCTCAGTGAGTTGTACCAAAAGAGGTTCAATTCAGATACAGTTTACCTCTGTGCATGAACCTTATGATGGAACACCTCTTGAAACTCTAGTGTGGTACCTACAACCTTCCCCAGACCATTCCCTCTTATGGTGGAAATTTAGCTCCATCACACCCCATGACTTCAGTACGCCGGTGAAGGTCTAGACTGCCACTAGACCCATTAAACTTCACCTTTCAGTTTAGGTTGCTAAAGGAGAATGTGATGGGTAGTTTGTGTTGATATTATCCTTGGAGCCATCAATTCCACAGGTGTTGGCAGTATTATTAATGGCACCTGTCTGGTTGTCTGACAAAAGTTTACACCTGTTGACTGGTGGGGACATGTACTGTACATGGACCATTTACACCCATCATAAAAATACTGATATAGCCTACATGTACCAAGGACAGTTTCTCATTGCTGGGTGATCTGGTATAAAAGTGTGACCCCTAAACCCCAGGGGAGGCTAGAGCCCTTAGCAAGTTTTCAGCAAATAGCCATCATTCATCATTTGGTTGCCATGCCAACCATTGTCACTTTTATGGGAGCTGCATTGCTGGCACTGGTACAGTAGCTGTTGATGGAGCCGCCATAGAAAAAGATGCACACCTTGTGTGGCATATGACAGGGTTATCTATTGAGGACACAGTGTGAATTCTGGGTCAGCAGACCTGAAATCTGAGAGAAGTGTTGTAGAGCTACAGCCTGTTGAGTTCCTTCCAAAGACCTGGACCACTCCAAATCAACTTGAAACAATCTCCAAACTTTAGCTCGGGATCGTGACTCCACTTTTTGGAGGAAATCCTCTGCATTCAGTAGCAGCTGATCACAGTTGATTTTATCAACAGGTTTTTGCATCAGTGAATGACTGGCATGTACATGTACCTGTACAGTGCATGGCAATTGAAAGTTAACAGCAAAAAGGGGGAAAAAGTTGACACTTTTCCCCCATCCAGGAAACTAAATATTCATTTCACAAATTATCAAACATTTGCCCCTCATTGGGAAGAATGTTCACACTTTCTTCCCCGCTGTGAAAAAAGAAATTCACAACTTACATGTACATGTACTTCAGAAGGTGGAAAATTGTTCACACCTTTCTTCACGAGTGAGAAACATGTTCACACCATTTTGTCACTATAAGGAAAAATTTTCACAGCATGTGTTCCACATGTGGAAAAGTTTTTGCAGCTTTTTTCCCCCAAGTTTGGAAAATGTCAGCGTTTTAGTTGCAGGTGGGAAAACATTTCACGAATGTGAATGGGAATTCTTTTTTGCAGTTTTTCCCCAGTTGTTTTCACAGGGCTGAGTTTCACATGTCCACATACTGTACATGTACATGTAGTGAGATCCTATGACTGATGGAAGAAAAGTAACCTGAAATGTATACCATGTGTACCGGTAGATATGTGTGGATGCAGTGCATGCATGTACGTACATGTACACCCACACTTACATGTACCTTACATACATGTACATGTACATGTACCTACTGTGGTCATTCCTTTCTTTTCGTGCAGTTAAGAAAACTTTACATTGAAAATACTCATTTTTCTTGAACTGGGAACACGATTCTCGGCTGGGTTGTTGTACAAGGCTTCCTTGACTATTCCTCTTCCTTTTATGACAGATGACCCCTACCCCAAAATGCCTCTTAACTTCTTTTTCAGAGAAAGGGAAACGTCCTGTCGACGTGTGTAATGTTTTCCGTTCCTGCATGGTGTGGATATCTTTTGTTCACAAGTCCACATTTGGTATGTAAGGTTGCCCCACATACATGTACATGTACATTAACTTTCAGGTGCTGTTGCTGGTCTTATCCCTGTGAAGTTAAGAAATGAAGCTGTCATACAGCGAATAAATTAATGCTGGAAATTACTGCTACAGCCCAAGCTGCATGAGGTTACTGGAATGTACCTGTATGTATGCATGTACAATATGCAGTCTACTGCACTTGTAACTGACTTTGAGCCTGTTCACTGTTCACTCCCCAATAACCGGTTACATGTATGTACATGTACATACATGTACTGCACCTGTAATGTTGGAAGGTTTGGTCAAGGCTTATACAAATGCCCCCACCATTCTTAAGTGGGGCTGAGGATGTACAAAATGTAAGCATTTACAGGACATGTGGGCCTACCTGTATGTTCTGGATGCAAGTTGAAACAACACCTGTTGCAAATTACTTTAAATGTGGTGCAGGCGTTGCTTCTGCAAGAATTTCATCGGACCTCTCTACATGTAAGGTACAGCATGGAGGATGTCCTTCCTCCATGGGTACAGTACTAACATGAACAGATGTGTACAATTTTTTCCCCTACGTGCTGTCAAAGCATGGAACAGTCTTCATCTATTCATAATTGCACAACCTGATTCCACTAAGTTAAAGGCAGTTCTTTGCCTTAAAAAACCTATTCAACGTTCACCCTCTAGCACCTTCAGTGAAAACTCCAGTGGGATTATTTGGAAGGAACCACTGCCAAGTATGGTACATGTACATGTGCATACAAAGTGTACATGTTTCTTTTTCAGAATCACTTTCAAAATATGAGTGGGGAGGTTTTCAACATACTGTTTTTTAAGCGATGCAGACTACCTGTACTCGTATGTGCAACATCTTTGTGTGCGCTTTCACTTGGATTTCTTGTTTCATGTAATCCCAGTTTCATACAGTCACGTGTACACGTATGCACAGTGCATTAAATGCTCTGTCCTGTACCAGCACAAGCATGGCAGAAAAAAACAATTAAATGGTGCCCATATCGGTACTTTTATTTTTAACTCCAATCCTGTATCCGGTTTGTAAGTGACTTCGTCACAAAGGCGGACACGCCACGATTTGCAGGCTTCCATTGGACGATCGCTGAAGTTGCGCGATTTAACTTCCGGTTCCATGGTTTCATGTAAACGGCGATCAATGCATGTACATGTAACTCTGTGCAGTGCATGTGCAGTTGGTATGGTTTAAACTGAAGTGACGTCACACTTACGAACCAGATAATGTACATGTACATATGTGGTTCATGTACTGTATGCTGTCTGCAGGCTACAGTTGTCAGGGAATTGAACTTTAATGCTAAGGCCAAATAAAAGAATACATGTACATGTAGTTGTGCTTTCAGTTACCTGCCCCAACCTACCGGTAGAAAATTTCGCCGACCCTAAGTCTTTTTTATTGAAAAAGAAATTAAAATAAAAGTACTGTTGCCGACCCTTGTGCTTTCAGTGGTGTGAAATCTCTGCTGTTTTGTTTT